ATTAGATAATGATAAATCGAGAAAATAGTAAAAAATTATTACAGTGATATAAATACCAGCATTTTGCATGCCTGTACAGAAGTATTGATCAACTAGGCTGGTAATAGCCGCGGACACTAACAGTCCCCGGTAGAGATAAAGGTCAAGTGGTAGTAATTATATTAACGGTACTAATTTTACTACACTAGATACGTATTTCACCACTTTGTCTCTTCAGTGGTTCTCGGTGCCAAAGTATTTGGAAATTCAAATCCTAATGCAAAACTAGAGAGCAACTTTTTCCAAGATTTATATCAGCAAATGTCAGTAAAACAGTATTAAGGCAGTTAATAAAATTTCCATCTAGACAATAATCGGTTCATCAAATTCATCAAAAATCCGATGACCGACATGCGACACAATAACAGAGATATCAATTAAGATGACAGTAGTTTACCGATCTTCAAATCATTTAAATCAATTAGAAAGAGACAATTCAAGGTAACAATTAAAAACAAAAATCAAGGGAATATCTTGAACGCCAAAATGAGTCCGTATACGTCGACATGGTCAGCCTCTCATGTTATGCATGCATCACTCGAGATGCAAAATCACACTCAGTGAAAATTTTGCAATCGGGAATAGGACGCACTCGTTAAAATTACAGTTCGGACGACTTTACTAGTATATTCAACAATCTAAGACCGCGAAATCATGTCGCAAGTAAGTACAGACACCAAAACATCGTATCTGGCAACCAATTTGTGATGATGACCATAAAACTTATGCAGTACTGTTGGAGCTGTTTATGAGTAAGGAGCACTACCTGTTTATGAAGTCCGTACAGTTTGAACATGCACGGGCGTAAAGTATAAACTAGATGTGTAAACATGGGACCGAGGGTAAATTACTGCTAGGAAAAAAGGAAATGTTGACAATTGGAAAGTTGAAATCATCACGTTTGTCATAGATTCTTGTCTGAATTCGCCCATCTGTTTCAATATCGAGGAAAATATCAAGATATGAAGCAGACCTTCTACTCTCAATATCTATTCATCAAACTCAGAAAATTAAAAGAAATATTTTGGTCAACGGTAATGTTTTATGATTTATAACAAAATATAGTTTTATTTGTTTTGTCATTTACAAAACAAAGTTATCTGATTTATCTTCCTTGAAGTATATATAGATACTTGCCAGTTTAATATTACACCTCCGTGAGATTGTATGACAGATATTATCCTTAACATGACAAGAACGACAACACAAATAACTGTTTGATAGAGGAGTTTGTATAACCATCTTATAGGCTGCATGATACTGGGAAAACGTGGCGCTACAATCGTAATTGACAAAGATTGTCAGTTTCCGGCTGACGGTCCGTGGTTCTCTCCGGGCACTCAGGCTTTTTCCAATAATAAAACTGACTGCCACGATATATTGCTGAAAATTGCATTTAATACCAAAAAAGCAATCAATCATAAACTGGAAATAGTTACTGATAAATTAAATGTGTATTCCTTGTGGTCAGCCATCTATAATTAATTTAATAACGTAATGCTAGTTCAAAACTTGTGCAGTCATATTGTCATACTAAAATCTTTATAGCAAACCATTTAAAAAATCTATTTTATCAATTTCTCCACGGAAATCATCTTTATAAAAATAGCATGTACCTTATCCATTACTTAATGAAATTAAAGATGTCAATGACACAACCTGAGTAATATTATGCTGATACTAATTTGATGCCATATCTAATTATGTTCTCTGTTCGACAGCACGACATGAAATTGAAACCCAATGCTAAAAGAGATGTTTGTCATTTCGACATACATGTACAAGTTTCACTCCATTCGGAGGTTACAAGATTATTATTAAATATGGAGATGTGGTAAGATTGCCAATGAGAAAACTATCCCACAGAGTCCAAATGACGTGGATTTCAGCTTTCAACAATGTACAAAGCTCATACCGTATAGAGAGCTATGAAAGGCCCGACATGATAACGTGAAACAATTCAAACGAAAGGAACTAACTGTCTGATTTATGACAAAAGAATAAAAGACAAACAGATATAAAAGACAGCAACCAACGACAATCTATTAATTACAATTGCTGAATTTGGACAAGAACATACAGAATGTGGCGGGGTTAAACATGTGTGTGAGCGCTTACCCCCAACTTGGGACAATGGTGTAACAACACAACATAAGAATAAACTGTAAAGGTCAGTTGGAAATGGCCTGACACATCATATCGGCACGAAACACACAAAAAACTCACATTAAGACAAAAAACACAAAGTATCGATCTAAGAGTACTCGCAGTTACTGAACGCTAATTAAAAGCCAATAACAAGTAATAAATAAATCCTGTTCTCCCCGACTAAAGGTATCAATCAGTTTACAATCATTACATTACTGTTCATCAGTGAACTAACTTTAGGACAATAGCTCCACCACTACATTTTTTTTTATAAAAGTTTGTTATTTATATTATGGTATAATGGATTTAAACAATTTCGAACTGCACGATCACCAAATGCCGTAAATTATGTAGAGGCATGTAGGCAGTTACCTCCTATTGCGGGCCGGCAAAAAAAAGATATTTGATAGTTATCGTCTTGCCACCTGTTCCGACATTGTAGAAACACATATCTCGTACCCGTGAACTCTTAACATGTCAATCTGATTAAAATTCAGACCTATATTAACACGCGTGCTCGTACATATAGTATAACGAAATCAGAGAACTATATTTCAATTAGATTGTTAACATTTCAAATCAAAAACCTATTTTAAAATTTTATTTAGTATGCTTGCAGAAAACTGTTTCTGCATTCGTTTGAACAATCAGCAAAAATTTCCTGTCACATGGCATGTGTTGTTTATCAACACGAGGAGTATTCAAAACTTTCCACTTCTGAAGTATCAATTTTTGTATACTCGGTCGCACTGCCTAAATCTTGTCATTGTCACGAATATTCGGATTTTTATAAAATTTGTATGCATTTAAAAGTCGTTAAACTGCATCTGAATATCTAATATTGGTATATCATAGTATTTAATTATTTTAATTAGAACTAGTAAGAAAGTATAGAATGTTCATGTATGTAAAAAGCGACGAAAAAATGAATTTTTCGATTAAATAAGGATTGTTAAAATCTTTCAACATAAATTGTTATTGCTGTACACATTTCGTTTTAATAGTATGAAAATATTAGGAATCACCAGATTTGTTTTGTAGTCTTAGTCATTATAGTTTTAGGGATGTATGAAAAAACAGAAACAATTACGATATTTTTTTCATTCTGTATAACGAGACAACAATTGATTTACCCGAACCAAAGAAATTTTGTGGACATCATTTCGAGAAATTAAAATTCAATAAAATGTATTCTATCGATGCTTTTATGTACATTATATTAAAGTTCCTTTTCATAAATTTTAATTGAATGTATCTTATAAACACATGAATTGTACATATTTTACGTTTAAGATATTCAGATGTAGTTATACGATTTCCAAATGCGTTCAAAATTTCATAGAATTTTGAAATACCGCCCAATTGCATAGATCCTTCTCCTTAATTTTGAAATAAAAGAGGTTGCATTCGTAACTAAGTTCTTATAATATTTGGATAATAATGTTGTTCATAGAACTTTATTCTAAAAACAGTTATCTTGTGGAAACTCATGCCCAAGCTAGAACACTATAACTAGCTTTATCTTACCTCCTATACATTTCTAGGAATATGATTGGTTAAAAGCGTCCGCGTGGAGACCGTGTATATTCCATATTAGGTTAGTAGGGAGGCGGGGCTTATTTCAATACACGGTTAGTAGTGGTGCTACGTCCCGTTATAAAAACAAAACGGTACTGAGTAAAAATCTTAAAGGTTTCAACAAACGAAGAAATTGATGATTAAGATTGAAATAAATTCATAAAACACATTTAAAGCTAACAAGTTGTTATTGTTGGCATCTGTTTTTGTATGATTATTGGAAGTAGTTTCGTAATGCTAACGGTATTGAATTCAGACTTGCTCATTTTGATAGGTTACTATTCTAAATATCACACGTTAAGATAGTCGGTAAGATAAATTCGTTACATAGTGTGCTAGTGACGTAATACGGTATATATGGGGTCAGTAAATTCCATATGGGGATTCGAGCTTCGCTCTCACCCCATATTGAATTTACTGACCCCATATATACCGTATTAGGTCACTAGCACACTATGTAACTAATAATATCTTTTCTCGATATACGAGGAAAGGCAGAAGAAGCATTAAACATAGAGACAGAAGCTATCCCAAATAAGGAATAATAAACTTACAATGTTCATATCTTCACCAGAACTAAATTTTGATAACAATAATCAAAATTATCTGTTTTGTATAAAGTGATTTTTTTTTATTTTGAGGTTTAAAATGTTTCTATGAAACCAAGTTTAAATATCTCGTGAAAAGGCAAAAATGTAAGATAAAGCATGAAAACTGCTCAGCTCCTGGGGATTTTGGCGTCTCCCCAGATCCCTGCCTATTATTATGCCTCCTATTGAACAGGTTCTAATTTACGGTCCTGAATTCGGTACTCATCTAGTCAAGAATTGTAAGGGGAGACACCTCCTTATAATTTCCTTCCACTGATAGAGATTAAAAGCGATCTCTGCAAATAAATTAGTTTGACACTTACACCATGTTTTATGTCTGTCCAAAGTTTGACCTAATGTTTTTATCCATTATGGAAGTTGATGTTGATATCAGATTTTTGGCAGTTTATGTTATCATTACTTCACTACCTTTCTGGTCTATTTGTGAAGACATAGGTTTGCTTTCCTCAAGATGTCTCTTATTTGGTGTCGTTGGGTTGCAGTCAATCGTTTTCACAATTAGTACTTTCGTCAGAGCTGTGTATTTATTCGACCATTCACTACCTATTGAAAACCAGTAAAAATTGTATATGTGTCTATTCTCATATTTGGAAATTTCTTTCAAGATTTAAATGGTATGTATCCATCTTTTCAAGTTTTTTATGGAGGTCATTTACATGCATATTTTTAAAATCCTATAACATTTTAAAATAATAAACGATCCAAATTAAGGTTATTTTTATCTAATTTGCAGCCGTGTCTGTAATGCTGTTTTGTTGTAGTTTCGAAGATTCGTTTTTATCGTCTATTGGCAATACGGAAGTACAAGCACTGTCAGGAAAGCTCTCATTTTCTCTTCTAAGTTTGTTCTGTATTCGTTCAAATGTAAATTCTCTTACGAAATATGCTGGAATAAACAAAACATGTGTTAATTATTTATATTAAACCTAAGGAAATAACATATTGTAATCCTTTAAACAGTGAATCTCAGCAAAGAGCTGCTATTGAAGTTTGTTTGCCGTTATTGCAGATGATACAACAGGTGCTCTATTTAAAAAGATCTAACAACTAACATTGCTCGTAAGTTTTACTGAAATCTTCATGATTCCTTTAAATTTCACATGTTTTTTTTTCTTCAGAATGGCAACAGAGTTGTAGGTATACATGCTATCTCTTTCGTAAATATACCTGCTAAATAAGCAGAACGCAGTTTGAATTGGTGTGATGTTTTACTTCGTTTCTCGAATGTTTTCTTACAAGAATGGTTAATTGAATGTTCAAGTAAAAGAGCAATTTAGTTTATGCAAGTTACTTCTTCTCATCAGCTAGTGTTAATTAATTGATTAAGGCTTATAAACGTTAAGTGGCGAATAGTACATTCATTATAACATATAAAGGTTAAATGAATATACTGGGTTTGTTTTACAATTTATCAACATGTAGAATTCATTTTTTTTTTTACTTTTACGTGTTGGCTCACAAGTCAACAACAGTTCACAAGAAAATATTTCACTGTACCCGGAAAAAATAATATCACTCCCAGTCTTTGTCTATCGGAGAAGAAGTACCTGCCAGATTTGATGTATTTGATATTCAGACTTGGATTCAGAGTTCGGGGCCTCTATGCTAGGGGCGGTTACTCTACCATACTTTAATTTAATAATTGTTTTTGTGTTTCAGAACACATTTTGAGATTGCTTTGCGAACACATTTTTAGTTCCTGGGTTTTTTTCCCGTTCCTTTAATTTTATAATATTGGCTTATAAAGTAAAATAATTGTGATTCAAAAGCTGAATTTTGTTCGGCTTTATTCGGATAAAAAATCAGCATTGCATTATATTGAAAAATGAAGAATTGACAAAATATTGGGAAATGATATAAATTTCTACGTCCCCCAACCCCATTTTCAGCTCTATAACGATCGAGCATTAGAGTAAAGGTTAACTATATGATGTATTGTGTTTTGTTTGATGTTTGATGCAGGAAATCTTGTGGGAGTTTTACGTTATGGAACCTAGTTGGAAGTTTTGCCCCACACAATCTTTTATCTAACACTAACACAAAAACTGATCAAAGATATACTAAGCTTATAATTTGATAAGCCAGACGCGCGTTTCGTATTTTTCCGACTCATCAGTGGAGCTCGAATCAAAGCAGCTGGAAGGCAAAATCCAATAAAGAGCTGTATTGTATTATCTTTGAAACACGAAGCATTTAATATATGGACTTCCAGTAGGACAGATAACATTCACAACTTGTAAGCCTGGTGTGAGTTTTCTCATTGTTGAAGATCGTTCGGTTGCCTATAATTGCTTACATCCACTTCATTTCAACTTTAGTGGATAGTTGTCTCATTGGCAATCATACCAAATCTTAGTATTTTTGTACTGATATATTTTTACAACCACTGGGTCGTTGCCACTACTATTTTTACCTATTATGTCTGTTTGTTTTGTTCACACATTGTTGTCATTATAATGGAATTTTGTGCGACTGTCATACAAGTGAGAGGTTTAGCCAACTATAAAACCAGGTTTAATCCACCATTTTCTACATAAGGAAATGCCTGTACCAAGTCAGGAATATGACATGTTGTTTTCCATTCGTTTGATGTGTTTGAGCTTTTGATTTGGCCATTTGATAAGGGACTTTCCGTTTTGAAATTTCCTTGGAGTTCGGTATTTTCGTTATTTTACTTTTTTTTATCATATTGCCATCTGGGATTAAATTTAAAAAAAACAATCTTACCTGTGGGTCCCATGTGTTGTTCGGGGTAATCAATCTTACCTGTGGGTCCCATGTGTTGTTCGGGGTAATCAATCTTACCTGTGGGTCCCATGTGTTGTTCGGGGTAAACAATCTTACCTGTGGGTCCCATGTGTTGTTCGGGGTAAACAATCTTACCTGTCGGTCCCATGTGTTGTTCGGGGTGAGTTTTCTTCTTTTTCTCTTTGAACTTGATATATCCAAAGAATAAAACAGCTATAATGATTATGGCCAGTAAAACAGCAATGAGAGCTCCTATGATCGATGCTATTGTTGTTGTCTTATTTTCAATTGAAGAATCTCCATCAAATGCTGTGAAACAAATATAGTGATACAAACACATATGTATAAGGAATAAAACTAATGCATATAATTACTGATTTAAAATAGGTTTATGCATATGATTATCAAGATATAGTTTTTATTATTTTAAATTTGGTGAGGTTTTCGTGATTATTTTCTTCTTTAAACCTCAAGTCGACATGTATTTGCCGACTGTATTCTTATTAAAGTTCGTCCAGTCATGCACAGCAAGAGCTACATTTTACTGTCACTTTTTTGGATTTGTATGCCATAGAGGTAGTCGCCCATCAAGTACACATAATATAATGACTTAAGGACCACATCAAAAGTTCAATGTAGGATAAAAAAACTTAATTTAAATAGATTTTTCCTGGATCCCCCTCTCTTTTGTAACTTAATTTGAAAAATATTGATTAACCGGTATAGGCATATGCCTTGAAAGAATGTTTTGAAATGCATTTAAGCCTGCAATATCATGAGTGTTGTTTTATCAACAATGATTGATTGTTAGTTGCTTGCCATTCAGTGGAGGAGATGGAGAGTTGTCATGGCAAAATCAGTAAAGACTGCAGTGTACATGAAATTATCTCTGTAGTTTTAAATCTATATCCTATAGATACTTGTATAACATTTTTCATCCGTTCCCAGTAATTCTATATGGCTTTCAAATCTTGTGTTTATCTGTATCTGAGAAACAGGTCACTTTTTGAAATTTTCTGTTTTTAATGCTCTTCAACTTCATATTTGAGTTAGCCCTCAAACTGTTTTGATTAGAGTGTTGCTGCCTTCAAACTGTTTTGATTAGAGTGTTACTGCCTTCAAACTGTTTTGATATGAGTGTAACTGCCCTAAAACTGTTTTGATTAGAGTGTTGCTGCCTTCAAACTGTTTTGATTTGAGTGTTGCCGTTCAAACTGTTTTGATTTGAGTGTTGCTGCCTTCAAACTGTTTTGATTACAGTGTTACTGTCTTCAAACTTTTTTGATTAGAGTGTTACTGCCTTCAAACTGTTTTGATTAGAGTGTAACTGTCCTCAAACTGTTTTGATTAGAGTGTTGCTGCCTTCAAACTGTTTTGATTTGAGTGTTGCCGTTCAAACTGTTTTGATTTGAGTGTTGCTGCCTTCAAACTGTTTTGATTACAGTGTTACTGTCTTCAAACTGTTTTGATTAGAGTGTTACTACCTTCAAACTGTTTTGATTAGAGTGTTACTGCCTCCAAACTGTTTTGATTAGAGTGTTACTGCCCTCAAACTGTTTTGATTAGAGTGTTGCTGCCTTCAAACTGTTTTGATTAGAGTGTCACTGCCCTCAAACTGTTTTGATTAGAGTGTTGCTGCCTTCAAACTGTTTTGATTAGAGTGTTACTGCCTTCAAACTTTTTTGATATGAGTGTAAATGCCCTCAAACTGTTTTGATTAGAGTGTTGCTGCCTTCAAACTGTTTTGATTTGAGTGTTGCCGTTCAAACTGTTTTGATTTGAGTGTTGCTGCCTTCAAACTGTTTTGATTACAGTGTTACTGTCTTCAAACTTTTTTGATTAGAGTGTTACTGCCTTCAAACTGTTTTGATTAGAGTGTAACTGTCCTCAAACTGTTTTGATTAGAGTGTTGCTGCCTTCAAACTGTTTTGATTTGAGTGTTGCCGTTCAAACTGTTTTGATTTGAGTGTTGCTGCCTTCAAACTGTTTTGATTACAGTGTTACTGTCTTCAAACTTTTTTGATTAGAGTGTTACTGCCTTCAAACGTTACTGCCTTCAAACTGTTTTGATTAGAGTGTTACTGCCTCCAAACTGTTTTGATTAGAGTGTTACTGCCCTCAAACTGTTTTGATTAGAGTGTTGCTGCCTTCAAACTGTTTTGATTAGAGTGTTACTGCCCTCAAACTGTTTTGATTAGAGTGTTGCTGCCTTCAAACTGTTTTGATTAGAGTGTTACTGCCTTCAAACTATTTTGATTAGAGTGTTGCTGCCTTCAAACTGTTTTGATTAGAGTGTTACTGCCTTCAAACTGTTTTGATTAGAGTGTTGCTGCCTTCAAACTGTTTTGATTAGAGTGTTGCCGTTCAAACTGTTTTGATTAGAGTGTTACTGCCTTCAAACTGTTTTGATTACAGTGTTGCTGCCTTCAAACTGTTTTGATTACAGTGTGACTGTCTTCAAACTGTTTTGATTAGAGTGTTACTGCCTTCAAACGTTACTGCCTTCAAACTGTTTTGATTAGAGTGTTACTGCCTTCAAACTGTTTTGATTACAGTGTTGCTGCCTTCAAACTGTTTTGATTACAGTGTGACTGTCTTCAAACTGTTTTGATTAGAGTGTTACTGCCTTCAAACGTTACTGCCTTCAAACTGTTTTGATTAGAGTGTTACTGCCTCCAAACTGTTTTGATTAGAGTGTTACTGCCCTCAAACTGTTTTGATTTGAGTGTTGCTGCCTTCAAACTGTTTTGATTAGAGTGTTACTGCCTTCAAACTGTTTTGATTAGAGTGTTACTGCCTTCAAACTGTTTTGATTAGAGTGTTACTGCCTTCAAACTGTTTTGATTAGAGTGTTACTGCCCTCAAACTGTTATGATTAGAGTGTTGCTGCCTTCAAACTGATTTGATTTGAGTGTTGCTGCCTTCAAACTGTTTTGATTAGAGTGTTGCTGCCTTCAAACTGTTTTGATTAGAGTGTTACTGCCTTCAAACTGTTTTGATTACAGTGTTGCTGCCTTCAAACTGTTTTAATCAGAGTGTTACTGCCTTTAAACTGTTTTGATTACAGTGTTACTGATGAGTCTTATGTAGACGAAATGCGCATCTGGCGTACCAAATTATAAACCTGTTATTTTCGATGAGGTTTTCGTCCCACCCCCCAAAATGACTATCCTGTACGATTAATAACCTTTTATTTGAATGAAAAGTCCAAACACATTTAGGATCTAAACTTTGCATGTGTTTCTATAACCCAAAAAATCAATGTAGGATAATAACTCCCCCCCCCCCCCCCCCCCTCAAACTATGTGAATTAAGTTTGTTCTCCTACATTGATATTTTGATGTTGTCCCTTACATATATATAAAAATAACTTTTTATTCCATATCACTCCCAAAGTTATAGTACACAAAGTAAAGATGAATCAAAATACACTAAACCTATTAAGTGTCAATCTGCCTAAGAATCAGACAGTGGTGAAAACATGACAAACAAAAACCCATTTAAGTTTACATTTATGTAAGTTAAAATTGTATAATGGTGCACGAATATAGCATTTTGTTTCCTTTTCCTGTTCTGGTATTTCAAGATATAATTTTGTTGAATTGCACTAGAAATTAACAATTAAGAGAAACTAACTCAGTAATTTGCTAACATTCTAACCAAGGATTATCTAGAGATTTCCCGAATTACCAGACACGCAGAAACGAAAGACCTACCATTTCTAACTCAGGGTGAGGGTAGCTTCAAAATAGGAAGGTTAGGACGACGGGTTTATTTTCGGTCTTGTTTTGAAATTTTTCTAAATTGTCTGATTCTTACAAATACAGGCATTTAATTAGAACAATTGTAATGACTATCAAATTTAATTTAATACAATTAAGTGCATCATCATCTTTCTTTTAATCATATGTTTCACTTGTAGAGAGCACCACACCACAATTTGGCTCAATCTTAAATACACATTTTTGCAACTAGTTCCATGTGATTTTTAAAGTGATATAAATTATGAAATTTCATTACAATAAAGGAAAAGTATGTATATGGTTGAAGACTATATGTTGCCCTCTAGATGTCTTTTAGTAAATGTTGTTGTTAGGTTGCTGTCTCGTTGACGTATAATCACATCTCATATTAAGAGGTCAGTATTGAAAATGTCTTCAAAGATGAAAAAACTAAAAAATTAATTGACAGACCGTCTGTTATGCCATTTATCAAAAAAAGTTAATAAATTGAATTAGAAATTTAGATGCAATACTGACTCCTTCTCGAAATAACCAAAAAAGAGGAAATTAACAGTAGTCTATATATACTATATAAAAGGGGTAACTGAGGCATTAGGAGGTTTTATAAAATCTTCAATTAGTGCAGACCAACAGAACATAAACTTCATGTCAGGACTTCATTGTACAAACGTCAATTAAAGTTTGTTCAAAGTTATAGGTCACGAAAATCACATAAATATATGAAACAACGGAGACCATTTGAAAATAGTTCAATTTAAAAACACAGTAAATTAACATACTTACGACATGTATCTGTAATATATCAATTAGAATGTTATCAATACATTTTAGGAACATACAATGGTACAGGGGAAAACACCATGAATAATTGTAATTGCATAGGTACAGAACTAATGAAAAATGTTCACTTTTTTCCAATTAATACAATTTTATGTTTAAAAATATTCAAGTGGCAGGGACAAATAAGAATGTCAATTTAGAAGATGAAAAAATATCACATTGAAAATAATTGAATTTGTTCAAGTCTTATATTGAAATGTAAATATAAGCTTAGAAGAGAAAAAAAAACCCGACACATTATGTATAATTGTATATGTTAATGACGAACAATATAAAAATAACGTGTTTAGACAAATATACAACACTTTGTTTTTCCAAAACATTGAAATGGTAGGGCTTATTTCCGTATATCAATTTCATACTAGGACCAACTTTGAAACGTCACCTAAGTGTTCAGTTTCGCAGTTTCGTGTGTGCAGATTGAAACTTTATTCTCGAAAAACCTGATACATTTATTTACTGTTACAGTAATTGGCTTTGAACTAACTAACAATAACTGCGAGTACTCTTATATCGGTGAGTTGTGTCTATTGTTTCTATGTTGATTATTTTATTTTGTGCTTCGTATTGAGTTGAGACATTTGCAACTGATTTTTAGTTTGTTCTTATGTTGTGCTGTAACACCATTGTACTGGGTTAGAGGAGGTTGAGCGCTCACAAATATATTAAACCCCGCCACATTCTTCATGTGCCTGTCCTAAGTCAGGAAGGAGCCTGTAATTCAGTGGTTGTTGTTGGTCTATGTCTGTCATATTTGATTTTTGTAAATTGTTTTGTAGACATTGGGCTGTTAGTTTTCTCGTTTGATTGTTCCACTTTCTTCATGTCGGTGCCTTTGATTTATAGATCCTATACGGTATGGGTTTTTCTCGTCGTTGAAGGCCGTACGTTGACCTATAATTGCTTTTATTTTCGTCATTTGAACTGTTGTGGATAGTTGTTTCATTGGCAATCAGACTACATCTCCTTACCTTTATATTGATAGATTTTCAAACTTTTGAGTATTTCTTCAAACAGAAAAAAATCAAGACACGCAAATACTAAAATCTTAATGTTGTTGGAGGTATAGGTGTGTTTTGACTTTTACAGACAATTCCTTTCGGTTTAGGATGTTCATCGATGCGAAGTATGTTTGGGTTGTTGTCTCTTTGACATATTCCCCATTTCCATTCTCAATTTTATTAAACACTAAACATACTTCGCATCGATGAACATTAACGGTTACCAACAGTAATCTATTGCATCGAATACTATTTTGATTGTAAGATAATTGCTAAAAAGAAATCTTTAAGAATATTTCATATTTAATGTTCAAATTCCAACAGCTTTCGGCAACTGTACAATGTTCACCAACTGGGTGCAACAAGAAACGGGGAAACTTATATCATGAAATAATACTAGTCAGATCTCAAACTCACAATATGGCGTCAAAGATGCAAGCGCTCCACCAGTCGGCCTAACGGTGGGACTCTGTCCTTTATCACATTTACCTTTCTGTAGACTAACAGATAACGAAGACCCGGATGATGATATTGTCTGCAGAATAAAAGAATTTAGTTATTTACGTGTACTTCACTCACTGTATAGTTTATAATATCATTGTTGTTGTTTATAGTTATAGTGTTAGTTTCTATTTCATTTAAAACTTTATAAAATATAGAGTCGAACTAGAATTTTATCAAGATAGGTATGTTTTATTTCTTATTTCGTTTGTTTGTTTGTTAGTTACAAATGTATTTGTTTTTTTTGTTTTTTTTGTTTTTTTTTTGTTTTTTGTTGGTTTTTTTTTTTGTAATTATGCAACCAGTTTCAAAACTAATGACTAATGGCAGAGTTTACAAATAATGACGCCATTACAAGAAATATTATTAATTCCAATGGCTGAATATTTATTTTGGACTCGCAGATACCGTAGTTACTGGACTTTGAAAATTAATATGATATTCTTATTCAACGAATTTGTACGAGACTTTAAAGAAGACAAGTGTCGCCTGTCGTCTAAAAATACACAAGAAAATTTCAGTCACGTGAAATTTCACCTCAAACGAGCTTATACGTGAAACTCACGTGAATTGATTTCACGTGAGTTACTCTAATTTCGCGTGAAATTTCCAAAATTAAGTTATTCAAATAACATCTAAATTGTCAAATTTAATTAAAATCGTGAAAAATATCAGATTTGTTTTGTAAAGTTCATGTGAAGTTCACGTGAAAAATTTCATGGTAAATTTTAACGTGGGTTTCACGTATAAGCTCCTCTGAACTGAATTTAACGTGAAATTTTTCAAGTGAATGTCATGTGAGATTCATGTGAAATTCACGTGAGCAGAATTAGCCTGTGTAATATAAGCAAAAAGGTATGTTTAAATGTGAAAAAAAAACAAATCACTCATACAAAAATATAAGTAGGTGAACAACTTCGTGTCCTGTTCAAGAATACGTGCAAGAAGCTTTGTGGAATTCTTTCGAGCCGTTTTCAAGGAGATTTGGATTCAAAAACTGATATAAGAATGCAAAGATGGTTACATGTAAGTCAATGTTTTGGTATGGGAAAGTCAAAATAATCACTCAGATCAAACATTAAACTGGCAGGTGCACAACTTCCTGTACTTCGGATAAGTTTCGTCAAGCCGTTATCAAAGACTGGTCGACATATATATGTCGCTACAGATTCGCTATCATGCGACACAGCTAGTATACCAATGGCAATATGCAACTTATTGAAATATATATAGTTTTTTTTATTTTTATCTTCTCACAACGATATTGTCCTAGTCAATTAAGATTGTAGTCGAGCGCACCTGTCACGTGCGGGATTCGAACTCACAACCTCAGTGTTGACAGGCTAGTGATACATTAGTTCGACTACTTAGAAAACTCGGCCACCGAGGCGCCCTTATAGAAACGATACCATAAGTTCGAAGTAGATTACCTACCATGCATGTAAATCTGTAAAGGCTGACTGAATCAACTATTCCATTGTTAAACACCGTTAGATAAATAACATTCGATGATGCCACTGATGCCACACAAAACACTTCAGTATCTGAAAACATATTGATGCCATTATTGCTCATTAGAAACTGGTGAGTGTCTTGTTCCATTATTATAAATAGTGTCATTTTTTAAAAACAAAACATAGCCGATATATTACATGTAAATTCTGTGCTGGAACAAAGTGAACTTTACACGACTAGCCGAACGTAGTAGAACGTGTCTACCAAATTATTACATGACATATCAGTGAACATTTTTAAGGGAAGGTATACATATCAAATATATTGTACATTTCAAGCTATTGTTTATAGTTCATACATTTGATTGATTGATTTTCAGTTGTTTGCTAAACGTGCTGTGAAAAATATTTCATGCATAATCAGGACAAGTCATTTGTATTTTATCTTTACTGAACATATCTCGAATGCTTTTGCAGTTAAGCAGATCGTTAGTTTAATCGGTGTTGCATCGTTTAGTCTTTTATCATGTGCGTTTTAAGAAATTATATTTTTGAAACCCCTCTCTCCTTTAATCGAATTGTAAATTTATATGTGTTATATGAAAGATTTTTAGCTATCGAAAAATTGAAATATGGCAATAAATGCAGATTTGTAACAAACTTACGCTTAGATCAGACCTTATAGGTATTTTTTTCATCAGTATTTTGAGATACTAAACAGACAATACCGATAAGTAAAGGCATTGTATTACCGTGGATGAAACAAGAATACACGTGTTTTCGTGCTAAGCATACCCCCAATCGTAATCCAAAGTATTGAATAAAGGAAGTATGTGTCTGACAGGCACGAAATGTACATGTTCATTACAACTTATCACTGTTGATCTGCTGAACAAATATGAGGTGATTCTGTTCAGTAGTTTTTGATAAAGTGTGATGAATAATTTTCAGTTCGTTCAACATAATGAAAACTTCACAGAATCGGAAGTATAGGTATCTTATAGATCTGAAAAAAGTGCTCATACGTTACAAATATAAGTTACAACTCATCACTGTCAAACTGCTGACCAGAAACGAAGTAATTCATTTAATTATCTTGTACGAAAATTTGTATTGGACGAACGAACGGACAGAGTGATTGTAATATAGCCCCCGCTTTAAGATTGGGGCTATTTAATATAGCCCCCGCTTAAGGAGTGGTGGTTTAATAGTTACCAGAATATGCTATAATTGTAGCACACTGAGTGTAATTGAACTTCATTGTCGTTCTGTTCGTACAAACATCCCATTCTGATCCGGTTCCACAAGATGTTCCTGTGCCATTATCGTATGTGTAAAAGAAATTTCCAAGAAAAACCGAGGGACAATATTGTTTGGCATCTTGTTCATATCCTTCAAAACAAAATATGAAAATTAGACATTTAAGTGCAGAATTTTAAGATTTGTGTACGGGGATCATCACCTTTATTTTCAAATGAGCTGATACGGCAAAGCCATTTTTTCGCCCCTTGAATTTGAAAAAAAAGTATTTCAAATGTATCAAATAGCATTATTTGGGTGTTAAGGTGTTCTTCAGTACATTAGCCTCTATATATAGATATATAGAGATTTGATTATTTAAATAGTTGAATTTTTTCCCAGTAAATTGATTTCTTCAGACTTTTAAAAATTAGCAATTTGGGGAAAACTGTTAAAAATGCCATGATAACAATATTTTTTTTATGTTCTTTCAAACTTTTTCAATACTAGCAACAGCCTTACTCAAAAATGTAATTTTGTACCAATCAATTTTAAACGCATATGTGCATTTGAGTAAATATCTATTTGAGAAAGGCTGCTGCTCACATTTACCTGTTATGAGTATTTACTTATGCATGAAAAGGATAACAAAAATCCCAAAACACACCCCTACCTCCCACCCCTCCCAAAACACATACCTACCCCCCCCCCCCCCCCCCCCCCCAAGAAAATAGACGTACATAAAGGAAAGTACAATATTTATCATTTTGCATAGCGATAGACTGAATTAATAGGCATGGTCTATCATACATGTAATATATTTCCAGAAGAACATAATTATGTAAAGTATAAGGATAATCTGTGACTATTTTAACAGCAATAGTATTCTCATGAACCATAAAAGTATTCAACGTATTGACTACCAAATGTACATTAGAGCTACCCTTGGTAAAATGGCTACCAAGATCCAATGCATACGTTGTTTTTGAATATGTCTTCTTGTCTCGAAGAATTGGTTGCGGCACAAATATTTAAAGACTTTATGCATCTATATGGTTGTGGTCATTTTATGTGACGTCTACAAAAAAGGTTACGGAAATGAGATGACGACATTAAGAAAAATCATGGCAATTGTGATGCAACTGATTTAGACCTTTCAACCAAAAAATATTCAGCCAGAAATCTTGAAATTTTCTAACCTTGTCTTGAGAATTAATAGCATTTCCGACAATTAACTAAATATTGCTTTATCATAAAAATTGCTAATACGCTTGACAAGTTAATATACAAACGGTAACGAGTGCTAGTTAAATCGATAAGTTTAGAATATTTGTTACCAACCTTGTTTTACCATGACATTGTATTCTTCGTCGCCCAGTGATGAACTAGTCTGACAGATACTGTCAACATTACTGACAGCTGTGCCAGAACTTATAATGTATACACGCTCGTTGTTAGCATTGACTTCTTTGTCTGAAGGAAAGAATGTAGCAGTTTTCTTACAGCCAATACATTTGCAGATTCACACCATTCTCTTCAATGCCATGCAATGTTTTAGATTCACACTGAGCACACGGATTCTATTCTTAACTTTGGTCCTAAGCGTACCGTCGGAAGTTTTTTTCTAAGTTTCATGTCATGCGTACTGAGCTTGACATCGATATGGTTTAAACAGTTTACGGTACCTATATGAAAAGTACGGAGAGTCGTGAAGCTGTCAACCAGCAATAATGAAATATGCAAAGATCATCATGTTGTCTTCGGACGTTAAACAAGCACCAGTCAATCAACCAGTCAATGTGTCATGAATGATCAAAAATAAACCGGCGCATGCACCGTACAGGCATCTTTAAATAATAAATTATGAAAAATAAATTAATAAAATAGGAAACCAGCTTAATTCGTTTTAATTCACTTTAATACATTAAACAATCAATCCGTGATTATTTATTTACTTGGTTTTCTCTGAATAAAGTAACCATGCAAACACTTAATTTCTTCCCTAAACCAACATCTATGTTTTGAGATTATCTTATTGTCTTGTCTTGTTTTGTATCTGCTAACGTCTATGTCATTTGGTCTCAGATGGATAGTTGTCTTATTGCAATCATACCACGTCTACTTTATTTTAAATCACCCCTCCAAAACGACTGTGTTCTATTTCTACCGCTATTTGATTTGAAAGTGTGGTGCGGTTAAAACAAATCGGATCAATAAAATAAAAATGACACCCCTTTTCTCTGTTACTTATACGGTTGGCTTTTTTTTTCTTTGGGGGGGGGGGGGGGGGGGGGGGGGGGCGTTGGATTCTATATTATAATTGTTTTGTCGTAAATATGTGTTACGTCCATTCTTTTCCTTTGGTTAGTTTTTTTTGTATAATAAATTGCTTGATGCAGGCTTGTGTTTCGTTATTTGTGATTTTTGTTTTTAGAAATTAATAGAAAATAATAAAAACTTAATTTAAACCAATCGAAATAGAAACGTGCATGTTGTAATTTAAGATGAGATTCGTGTTAGTTGATGAGTTCAAATAGTACAATCACCTGACATCACATAATAAGAGAACGAGGATTCTGTTATTGTTGTCATTTTCATACATATATACACGTCCTGGTTACTTCCAAACAAGTACACTGTTGTTTTTCCTCTGAAAAAAGTCATAATCATGATAAGGACTAGGTATATATGTCGACGATATTGCAAACTTCGTATATAGACACGTATATTACGGTAAGTAGCATCCATACGTTTTGGAAGCATACTCAGAATTTTAGAACATAGAATAGACATTTTTACGAATTTAGCGTTTGAAAAAAGATAGCCGAAGTCCTCTGTAACTTTTGGAGAAATGGAGTCTTTAAATATTTTTCTTGCAAATCAAGAAAAATTAGCCTGAACATTACGTTTAAAGGATATAGTAAAAATTCTAATGTTTTCAAAACAAATTAATTGTTTTATGTTTTCTACATATGGCAAAATCATTAGATAACAGTTCACTTTCTCCCCAAATTGCACCGATTATATGTTTGATTTTACTCCTTTTGGTTGCTCTTACTTGACAGAGTACAGGGTGTCCTACAATAGAGTAGGTAACCTGTCGAAAAATTATATAATCCGGAATTAAAATTCGGTAAGATGAAAATAGTCTATTCTAAACATTAGATGTGTTTTAAGGTTTTTATTACAAAGACTTACTTTGAAATAATGAAATCATCAATAACACTGTGACACGTCCACTCGGTCACGCTACTTGAATATGATTGGACAACATATCCAGACATTTCATCACTTGTAAAACTTAAAAGTCCTCTTTCATTATCGTACCAGGAACTATTTCGTAAGGCGTAGGGATAATCACATCCTGTAGATAATATAACAATCTCGGTTATCATCAATACAGAATGTTGTACAGGACATTTTATTTCAGATTCTGACGGCAATAGAATCTATTACATATATCATGTGACAATTTATTCATTTTTTGTTTTATTTTTTATTTTTGTTTTTGTCTTTTTAATCTTTATATTTGTTGAGTAAGAAACTATGCGAAGAATGTTACAGAAATATAATAAAAAAAATATACGTAAAATACAGTAGAGAAAAAAAAAAAAACAATTATCGCTAATTAAGTACATTTGCATACAGTAAGATGTAATATACATTCTCACCAGCTTTTACATATGTAATGAATGTCAATAGTTCCAAGAAATAAATATCCATGTTCCATGTTGCCATCTTTTGTTACGTCCTGAAATTTTTGTTCAATATTATTTTGTTGGTAACGAGTTCTAAACCATGGTATGACGAGCCAGAGTGCTACAAACTTTATTTATAGTGTCAAAAACTGACCAATTAACTGAGTACTGAAAAGGTCATATAATTTCTTATTCGATTTTTTTTTCTAATTTGAAAACAATGTCTATTGTTCTAGCAATTGAATCTGGTAGTGTTATAATATCTGCAAACTTATTTTAGATAGATTCCCATATTTAAAATTGATGAAGGGACGTTATTTAAATCTTTTGGACTTGAAATTGGAGATTTAATTATTTGAAGACAAATTTAAGAAAGTTTTTCGCCGATCGTATGTGGTTTCTATACATGTTCAGCTATTTTGAACGAATTCAATTAGAATTGTTTTAGAAAGTAAAAGAGATAAATGCACTATTTTTTCGATTTTCAGTTATAGTTCAACCAGAGACATATATACATGTGTATATATGTCTCTGGTTCAACGATCCAAAGTTGAATGCAAAATTGTACCAAAATCTGTGACATTGACCATTTACTGTACCTTTACCTTAAATTCAACTATCTTTTCGATTGAAATGCAATACTGGAAAATTATTATTAAGGTATTTATAATCAATATCTATTGCCCCATACATATCCCTAAAAGATACTGGTAACAACTTTCTATGTACAAAATATTAAAGGAATACCCTGTTTTTATCTCGAAATTTTCTTAAATACTACTGTCGAGAGGTGGTGTATAGGAACAATCTTCCATACTTATGATGGTATACAGTATACTGGATCCTTCCTGTCAGTGTCAATCTGATATTGAGGATGTTCATCATTTCTTTTTCGTTTGCCCAAAACACATTACGTGTAGAGAAACTTGACTCAACAATCTTAATTGGCTTACCGAATACTTTGTTTGAGATATCTAACTGTTAACTTGCGGAAACTTTGAACTTTCGAATGAACAAATTCTTCCAATTTTCAAACATGTTCTTGATTTTATCATATTTCTAGTATCTTCATAAGTGTTATTGATACTGGCACGGACCATCATCAACATGAAAACCTAAGTCAAAGACATCATCACAGCTGAACAAAATGATTTTTCAATCTTTTCTTCCTCTTAGTTCGTAATATAATTTCGAATAAATTTCATCGTTTTACATGCATATCATTATTATATATACTCATATTGTATTATAGAGAAAACTTCATAAGTTTGATTTTCTACCCCAGGAATAGATTACCTTAGTTGAATTTGGCAATATCTTTCGGAATGTTTTCGTGTTTTATTTGGCCTTTTAATTTTTTTGATTCGAGCATCACTGATGAGTCTTTTGTAGACGAAACGCATGTCTGGCGTACAAAATCATAAGTCTGGTATCTTTGACGAGTTTCCTGCCTGTGTCTCATCCATTTTGCTTACATTCAGCAAATAAAACACAACGACATCACTGTTCTCGGTTTTACCTGGTCAATCTAAATTTATCATAACCTACTTACAAGGAGGTTATATGTGGGGCGTCATTTATCACAAGCATATCAGTACAATGGACGACACAGTAGGAAAGGTAAGATTTGGGTTTAAAATAATTGTGTCCGCAATTTTTATATGAATAAATGGAAATGTGGCTTATGCGCCACAAGACAACAACCGAACGACATGAATAGCCATAAAACATTTCATACACTGGCTATATCAGAGACATATATATACACAGAGATTGGCAACGCCGTGAAATCACGTTAAATAACGCGGCCCGGAACGAGAATCTCGCCAAGAATTACTCTAAAAATCGGGGACGAATAACCACCGATAGCTATATAACCAAGAAAAACAATCGGAAAACTTATCTCAGATCAAATAATTTCTTTTCTAAAAAGCTACTAGAAATCGTATGTATTTATTGAGTAAAAATATTTTCTGCTTTTCAGCATTTCTATTAATTTTAAAATTAAAATCTGATTATATAATACAAGAAACATTTCTGTACTTCATTTCTTCGCTAAAGTTTGCTTCTTAATTACACAGTGAAATTATGTCCAAGTCCAATTCTCCGGTAATTAATCCCTTATAGTTGTGACTGTGGATTCACAGGTGTGCGATTACGTAATTTATTGTCCTCCGATCACCTGAAATTTGCCGGAGGTGAAGTTCTAAATGGATTATGTAATAGTTATACACCGAGGGATAGGTGTGTCTGGATAAGAAACCCAGTCGGCGGGAGGCAGGAGGGGTTTCTTATCCAGACACGCCGTATCCCGAGGTGTATAACTAACTTACACCCCATTCTAAACCCTATATTTGTTAACATTGATTATTAAATAAAAAAAAAAAACGATAGCATGTTTATTGACAATATCAAACCATGATTTATAAGATATTTTTTTTTATTACATGAAACCCCACTAGTAACCTTTCTTTGGTTATATTCGTTCAGACTTTGACAAGTGAGTATATTTAACAAATGTCAAAGTTGTTTTGCATATTCCCGTTAAATCCTGTGCTAATATGGATCAGCAGGTCAAAGTTGACTGTTTCGTGTATTCTTATTACAAACAAAAAATACATCATGCTCCTTGTATGCAGTTGTCAATATGGACGAGTATAAGACGGACGACATTGTGTGGCAAGCGTTGGATTTGGTAGAAGAGACTTAAGATAAAGGCAATATTATAACCCAAATTACTTACCTGTATCAGTGTAATAAAGGTAATCATAACTGTATTTTATATCTTACGGTTTTATAACCTCCCCCCCCTTCTTCTCGAGAATAAACAAACATTCATGTTCGGACATACTAAGGAATAGGTGTGACCCGACTATCAGACACGCTCAACATACAAAGGTAAAGATTTAATATTTAGGAACTCCCTTTTTGGGGGCAAACAGGGGCTGATCCAGCTGGGGGTTCCCAACTCAAGAGAAAAAAGGGGGAGGGGTCCAACCATTCAAATGCATTGATCTTTTAAATAAAAGTCGGGTCTAAACCGCGGAACCCCCACCCCCAGATCGGCCAATGGGTAACCGGGAGGGGGGGGGGGGGGGTACCCGGGAGTTAGAATCCCCATTTTTTTAAAAGACCAATGCTTTAGAATAGAGACATATGACTGGGATAAAAAAAAATTACACTCAAGCAAAGGAGTATTTAAAGGATTATTTTTGTATTCAAAATAGATGCTTAATTTTTTTTTCGCTATTGGAATTTCCTAAAATGTGTTTTTTTAATATCTTGAAACAATTTGTAGTGAACACTATTAGTAATTTCTTATGTTCATGCTATTTGAAAAATAATCAATTTCTATTGTTACGAATAACAATGGACTTTGTTTGCGGGATGTAGAAGCAGGGGTTTCCAGAAACCCCGCTCGTCACACCCTGTGGTCAAAATCCTTTGTTATTCGTAACAATAGATCTATTCAATTTACACATGTTTCAGAAATAGAAACTATGAAGTATAACAATAGAACTGGGGTGTAACACTTGGAAATTGTTTTTACAACTAAACAAATGCTGACACATTAATATAACCCTGACCAGAACTTTATTTAAACAGAAGCACTGGGCAATACTATAAAGTATATAATCAGGAAAACAAATATAGTCAGTTAACATGTTAAGAAAAGAAGTAAAACAACTTTTTCATAAATAAAAAATATAGCCAGTAGAATTTTGTCAACTGTCCGATTTTGTCTCGTGGGAAACTGATTTTAGTGACTTTCCACTTTAATATTTGCTTGGTATTGTAGCCAACAGCAAGACTTTTTGCACCGTTAAAGATCAGTACAGTTTCGCTAGAGTTGATTAAAAAATATTTTCAAATTATTTGCTATTTAATAGAATGAAAGAACAAGCACTTACATTTTGATTTCAGTCTAAGTAGCTTCAGCATGATACAAATATAAGAAGTATTTGTTCTGTCTCTTATATTTCAGTTTAGATTAATAATTATCACGGCTCAAATCACAGTAATTTTATACGGTTCAAATCACAGTAATTTTATTCGGTAGTGTCGGATCCAAAAGGGGGGGGGGGGGGGGGGGGTGTCCGGGAGATGGACTCCTTTTTTTTGACGATCAATACTTTTGAATTGGGACATATGGTTGGAACCCCCTTTTAAAAAATGACTGGATCCTCCCCTGGATTCGGTCTTCAAATCCCATGGAAATAAGGAAAACATTACGACGATACTGCCATTATGATTGGTTGGGTCTTTTTATATTAAGATTAATGAAAAATGGGGCTGAACACTTGTTGATGTTGCACTGGTGTGAATTTCACATCGTTATTCTTTCTCAATTATTCCATGTATTTATATCTCACTGTTTTAATTTGATTATAATGTTTAATTTTTGATTGACCTAGAATTAAAGGATCATTTATGGAACCTTTGCATGAATTTCCTGAATGAACGTACATTATTAGTGTTGTCGAAATCAATTGTTGCTGCCATGAAATATTGAATATGGATCTGAATCTGTCATTATTTGTTGTTTTTTTTTTCGCTTTGTTTTTTTTTAAGACTTAATATCACCGACTCTGGTTTAAAACAGTTTGTATCATAAGTATAGTAAAATGCTCTGCTGAACTGTAGACTTTAATGTTTTGTTTCATAGACTACCGGAGTACTGCAACATTCTTATCTTTACTCTTTACTATCGGGAAGTGAAACTCGAGTTTGAAATTAGAAAGATTTGAAATTGTGCACAAGTTTTATCTGATCTTTTGTGGGTTTATGTTGTGTAGGGTAATTTTCGGTGCAGTGCTATGTGGGCTGTTATTTTCTTTTCATTTGTTATTTGTTTCCTCTGTTACACGACCTTGTAATTTTTGTATTGCCCCTTGACATCTCCTGCTTCTGTTTAAACCTTTACCACTAATATCTCATCTGGTTTTAATAAGATAGTGTCTCATTCCCTGAATTTGTTATACAGGAATTCATTTTAAGATCAGTTTTTTTATAAGCAAATAAACTGCTTAGGCTCTTCACACAACTTATTTTTAGAACGGAATGCATCAATAGGTACATACATGTACCAAGTCAGTGATATATAAATACACATTATGTGCTTTTGAACTCCACAAGAACTCTTAAACATACATAGATGTGTAAAGAATATTTTTGTTGTTGGGTTGTTGTCTCATTGACATATACCCCACATTTCTTTTTAGTCATAGCATCTGTGCCTTTTCAATTTATTGCAGAAAATATTTGCATACACATTTTTCAAAACACGAGAGGTGATTTAGTGATCACAGAATGAGGACATGTAAAACTGAAACAACACAACAGATATATACAAACAAGCACCATTGTAAAAGGACTGAAACAAACATAGATGATGACCAATATGAACCCGTAAAGACTAGTGTACCAGTACAGTGAACATTTCTTGCTTCTTATTCAACATCTTTTGTCATTTCATGTAAACAATCTGTTAGCGATATAAGCCGAAATGGGATATTAATTTACAGTGCAAAAAAATCTTAGTTTTTGAATTTTTGAAAAGATGTTGGAAAGTGTATTTATTTTACGCGCTTGATACAAAATGTGCTTTGGTCAACGCTTTTACATCCCAATAAAATTATAAAAAGAAACATTAAATTCTTAAATGAAAAATTATCTAGAAACATTTTATCGTGCTACTAGGATTAATCATTCCATAATGTTATATTAGTAAGTCCGCTCAGATCATTTTATCATGAATGAAAAGTAATGTTTGAACGGAAAGAGATATATTTCATTGTATTTTTTTTTTGGAATTACAAATAAAAATAACCGATGACAAATATTCCATATTTCTGACCACTAAAGTTTTATATGACTTTGTAGATAATTACTCTCAATCCCCAAAGTAAAATTAATCTATTATTTTTTGTTAAAGTTCTCTCGAAGAAAAAAATATCAAATAAACAAACAAACAAACAAACATATCTTACACCAGCAGCAAAGCTATCGTTCGTGTTGCAACATAATGTCAAAAGTCCAGAGTCGAAAAAAACTGAATGACGGATATGTAATAGCTTTCGCGCGGTCATTCAGTCCTTCCGGTAGTTTTACTCAACATGATCTGCTTGTCTTAATGAATGCCGTAATTGGTTACACTTTATTAGACTGTTAACGTTTTACAAAGACTAAAACAAAAAATAAATTTAATTTGTTTAAATTTTCCAGTCGATTACATGTAAGGCTGCGGTTGCTTGGGAATCAGGAAAACCTCTTTCCATAGAAACCATCGAAGTGGCGCCACCTAAAGCTAAAGAAGTTAGAGTAAAGGTAAACCTCGTATTTGATATGAATGTTGTAATTTGTGATTCATTATTTTTATCATTAATATTATTATGATAATGATTATTACTATCATTACTTCATTCATCACACATAATTTCATAAGCACATCCTATAAAACTTCAAATTTGAAAAAATAAATAAATATGTTTTATATACTTGAATGGCTAAGTTCTACTAAGAAAATCCTCATAAATGTACTGCTATTGAATTATTGTCTTCCCTTACCCTTATTCGGCGATATTTTTCCGTATGTAGTGACCTTAACTACGAGACCTCTCAAATTCACAGGTTAATAGGATGTAAATATTCACAAAAAATAACATCATTAATATAGCTGACAGTGGTTAGAAGTATTTGCTTCATGTTTTCGTACTTGCCTTTAAGGAGGTTAATTCATGAATGTTCTGCTTCATACGAGTACAATAACAAGTAACTAGCAGTGACGCATACTGAGGATCATACAGAATGGCTGTAAGACTGAGTACAATAACAAGTAACTAGCAGTGACGCAAACTTAGGATCATTTTCATACAGATTGGCTGTAAGACTGAGTACAATAACAAGTAACTAGCAGTGACGCATACTAAGGATCATTTTCATAGAGATTGGTTGTAAGACCGAGTACAATAACAAGTAACTAGCAGTGACGCATACTAAGGATCATTTTCATAAAGATTGGCTGTAAGACTGAGTACAATAACAAATAACTAGCAGTGAAGCATACTAAGAACCATTTTCATAGAGATTTACTGTAAGACTGAGTACAATAACAAGTAACTAGCAGTGACGCATACTAAGGATCATTTTCATAGAGAATGGCTGTAAGACTGAGTACAATAACAAGTAACTAGCAATGACGCATACTAAGGACCATTTTCATAGAGATTGGCTGTAAGACTGAGTACAATAACAAGTAACTAGCAGTGACGCATACTAAGGATCATTTTCATAGAGATTGGCTGTAAGACTGAGTACAATAACAAGTAACAAGCAGTGACGCATACTAAGGATCATTTTCATAGAGATTGGCTGTAAGACTGAGTACAATAACAAGAACCTAGCAGTGACGCATACAAAGGATCATTTTCATGGAGATTGGCTGTAAGACCGAGTACAATAACAAGTAACTAGCAGTGACGCATACTAATGATCATTTTCATGGAGATTGGCTGTAAGACTGAGTACAATAACAAGTAACTAGCAGTGACAAAGGATCATTTTCATAGAGATTGGCTGTAAAACTATCAATCCACCTAAGTCATCAAACAATTTGTCGAACAAAAAGTCCTGCAGCGTAATGTAAGCTTTAGTTTTCTCGACCTAGATGATCCTAGACTCGAAAACAAGTATTTATTTGAATAATATTCAGAATGAGATGTAGATTGTCGAGGCATTTTTCAGGTTCTATATTCAGGAGTATGTCACAGTGACCTAAGTATACTGAATGGGTCTGTTAGGGGAAGGTTCCCTATTATTCTTGGACATGAAGGATCGGGGATAGTGGAAAGTGTAGGCGAAGGAGTAACGGACTTTCAAGCAGGTAAGCTGGACATAACGATTATACAAGGTTAGATATCGTGGTGTAGGCGAAGGAGTAACGGACTTTCAAGCAGGTAAGCTGGACATAACGATTATACAAGGTTAGATATCGTGGTGTAGGCGAAGGAGTAACGGACTTTCAAGCAGGTAAGCTGTACATAACGATTATACAAGGTTAGATATCGTGGTGTAGGCGAAGGAGTAACGGACTTTCAAGCAGGTAAGCTGTACATAACGATTATACAAGGTTAGATATCGTGGTGTAGGCGAAGGAGTAACGGACTTTCAAGCAGGTAAGCTGGACATAACGATTATACAGGGTTAGATATCGTGGTGTAGGCGAAGAAGTAACGGACTTTCAAGCAGGTAAGCTGGACATAACGATTATACAAGGTTATAAATATCGTGGGTTAGGCGAAGGAGTAACGGACTTTCAAGCAGGTAAGCTGGACATAACGATTATACAAGGTTATAGATATCGTGGGTTAGGCGAAGGAGTAACGGACTTTCAAGCAGGTAAGCTGGACATAACGTTTATAAAAGGTTAGATATCGTGGTGTAGGCGAAGGAGTAACGGACTTTCAAGCAGGTAAGCTGTACATAACGATTATACAAGGTTAGATATCGTGGGTTAGTGAAAGGTATAGGAGTAACAGATAATGAAGAATTCAAAGTGCATAAATTACTAAAATATACAGGACCAAATCTTAATTAATAGAATAAAGCAGGATCAAGTGTAAATGCAGAAGTCCATCACTAGGAAGACGTTAAGATTACCATACTAGTTATATTTCCAGTTGTACTTCTTGCGCGGAGGTTTAAATGTTTTTTACCCGTCTGTCCATCTGTAAGTCCGTTCGTCATCACTTTGTTGTCTCAAGTTAATTTCGACTTGGATTTGTTCAATAATCAGACAAATTTAAAATTGGGGACATCTTTTTCGGAAAAGGGACCTATAAAATATCCCATATCGCTCATTGTCGCCGGGATAGCACCTTAATTTTTTATTTGATCCTCTTCAAAATTGAATGAAAGGTTCCACTTATATTTACCTTTGATGAGTTTGATAATCAGATACATCTGAAATGGGAGACTATTTTTGATAGGGTAATAAAATCCTACATCAATACGTTTCGCCATGACATGACCCTCATTTTTTTTTATCATAACCTCTTAAAATTTGTTTGAAGATATCCATCCATTAATGCTGTAACTTGGATATCTAAATGTTTGAGTTAGATACCTAGAAAAAACTGAAATGGGGGACCATTATCTTGGGAGGGAACTTGTAATAATATCCCATGTAAATAAGAGGGTGCTTGGGGGTATGAACTTGCTCACTAAAGGTCCGTTCATTATTGTTCTTACAACTTAAAAATCGATAAGATACAGATCTGTTTAGTAAACTTTTCAAGTATTGTTAAAGGTGCACTGTGAACGACAGGTATATAATGTCAATGACATTGAGATATACAGACTGGTTACGTGCAGCCGTGTGCCTCTTTTTAACAAAAAATCTGACGACACAAATGTGCATACGTCACACTGAAATGTTCATGACTTTCTTTAGAATGTTTGTTAAAACATTTGCAGAATCTTAATCTAATTAAATTAAGGGATTGAAAAATTGTGATGGGAAAAATAAGTCTAAACAGCAGCAGAAAGTCGGGAAAAGCCTTTGGGGAACGGGTCTTTGTAACAATGAGCAATATGCATTAATCAGCTATACCTCAGCTATACCAAGTTTTCGACAATAAATATCAAAAACTAAAAACAAACAAACAAACAAAAAGTTAGCCCCAAAGTTCATGCATTGCCAATATAAGGAGATTATATGTTTGATTCGTTTTTTACGCTTGTTTAGAAATGCGAACAATATCTTTGAATGGTTTCGTAATTTAGAATAAATGAAATTTCTAGCGTAACAATTCCAGAAAAGATATGAATGGGTGAGTCTAACTGATTAAGAAAAAAGAGGTATGATATGACACTATTCACAGGTGGATCGCATAATAAATGACATTTCCATTTTCCATTTTCTGGGAACGTAATTGAGGTTGAAACAGTAACTTGGCATATAATTTGAACTGTTCACATCATAATGAATATGTGTACTAAGTTTCATGTTGGTGCGATCACAACTTCATGGTCAACTTCCTATACCGAAATCTTGAAACTCATACCGGATTAACGACTGAACGGACGCACATACCAGAAACTATAATAACATAGCGCTCTCATTCTATTATTGTAGGTGGCGCATACAAATACATGTAGAATTGAAAACAATTATGCATGATTCCTATGTTAAAATACATTGCAGGAGATCATGTAATACCTCTTTATATGCCGCAGTGTAATGCATGCAGAAGTTGTAAGAGTGGAAAGACAAACATATGTGAAGAATTTCTAGGGTAAGATGATCCGTTATACATATTCAATTTTTCTTGAGACTCCTGCACCAACAATGACATGGGGAAAGACTTTTTGTTTCACGCTTTTTAATGAAATTTCGTATTGTTCCACTCGTCCTGAACATGCATGAAATATTTGCCACTGGACATTGAGCAACCAACAATCAATCAATCGTATTGTTCTTCTTTTTATTTTCGCTCGTTGCCATTCTGGTTTCGATTTTTTCCATTTACTTGTCTTTTCTTCTTCTTATTCAGTTGATAATTTTGCATAAACGTCATCGTACTATATAGTTGTTGCATTTCGCGTTTGCATTACTTTTAGCATTCAATCATTCTAAATGAATTTACCTATTACGGAGAATAACATATAAAAGATGTATGATAAATGTTTAAATATGTGTAAAAAGATATTCTTAGAAATAGAATCAGAATCACTGTCCTACTTATTGACCCTACTAAATAGGATACAATGTACCCTTTATTAAATGATATTAGTATTTAGATGACAGGTCTTCCTTTATGACAGAACGCAACAGTAAACAATTGTGTTAACTTTCAAACGATGATTCTTCCTGTTAATCATACATGTACATACGTCATTTTGTCCCCCCAGAAAAACCCATGCATTCGGATTAATGACTGATGGTACCCCTCGTTTTACTTGTGACGGGAAACCAGTCTATCACTTCATGGCTTGTAGTGCTTTCAGTCAGTATGTTGTACTGCCACACATGTGTGTTTGTAAGGTATATATGCTAAAATATCTAATTGACAAAACAGGAATCCACAAAGATATTGGTCAGTATAAAAAAAATCCAACTCCTCCTAGAAAAAAAGACGTTCAAACAAATATAGACAACAACGAAAAACACATTGTCAAGATATCCTGGCCTGATACAGGGACAACATTTGAAAACCAGTTTATCCTTCCATTTGCCTTCTTAAACGGCTGTAGGACAAGTAAATCTCAGTGGTAATAAAGAGCTATACAGTATAGTTGTGTTCATGACAAATATGTTGGCCGGGACAGTATGTATCAGATGATTCCTGTTTGTCCCCGAATACAAAAAAAAAAAAAAAAAATTATTTGAAATATTGATCATAGTATTGCTTCCAACCATTTGAAATATTTCTTAATAAAGCTTTTAGAAGATACAGTGAATTATTATAGGTATGGAATGAGTTTCACAAAGAAACTTACGACTAAAATTTATCGTAAGTCTTACACAATTCAGTATACTTACGATTAACATTAGGCGTAAGATTTTTTGTGAAACTCGATCCTGGCGTATATTATATCAAATGCAATGGACATATAGGTTGCCACTAAACATGTACATTTTAAATGTTATATACCATGGGTATGAATACAGATTAAGATCATATATCGTATTCCTTATGTATTACACGTATTCATAACTTAACAATTTACTTAAAACTGGTGAAATAACTGACAGCGTTTTATAGAAATTACATACACTTAAATATGAATAAAAGGAATGTGGAATATACATCAATGAGACAGCAAACCAACAACACAAATAACTGGAAAGATATTTAGATTCAAGATACAATATTCAATACTAGTAATCGAAAAGTGTCTATCAAAATATCAAACTTAGAATTGCAAATACCAGTTTTCATTAAATCCTTTAGGTGGAATCATAATGTCACAATGACTCCCTACACTTATATCAAAATATGTTAAATAAAATTGAGAATGGAAATGGGGAATGTGTCAAAGAGACGACAACCCTACCATAGAGCAGACAACAGCCGAAGGCCACCAATGGGTCTTCAATGCAGCGAGAAACTCCCGCACCCGGAGGCGTCCTTCAGCTGGCCCCAAAACAAATATGTATACTAGTTCAGTGATAATGGACGTCATACTAAACTCCAAATTATACACAGGAAACTAAAATTAAAAATGATACAAGACTAACAAAGGCCAGAGGCTCCTGACTTGGGACAGGCGCAAAAATGCGGTGGGGTTAAACATGTTTTTTGAGATCTCAACCCTCCCCCTATACCTCTAGCCAATGTAGAAAAAACAAACGCACAACGGTACGCACAGTAAAACTCAGTATAAGAGAAGTCCGAGTCCGTTTTGACCAATCTATGATATCTGTCTTTCTAGTGTTAAAGTTTTGACCGATCTATGATATCTATATCCGTTTTGTAAACGTTTTGACCAATCTATGACATCTGTCTTCCTAGTGTAAAAGTGTTGAACGATCTATGATATCTGTATCCGTTTTGTATATGTTTTGACCAATCTATGATATCTGTCTCCCTAGTGTAAAAGTTTTGACTGATCTGGGATATCCATCTCCCTAGTGCAAAAGTTTTGAACAATCGATGATATCTATCTGTCTTCCTTTGGTAAAAGTTTTGATTAACCTGTGATATCTGTATCCCTGTTGTTAAAGTTTTGACCAATCTATAATAGCTTTATCGCTCTTGTGAAAGTTTTGACCAACCTATAATATCTATATCTGTTTTGAAAAAGTTATGACCAATCAATGATATATGTTTCCCTTTTGGAAAAAAATTGTGCAATCTATAATATCTGTCTCCTTGTTGTAAAATTTTGAACAACTTATGATATCTGTATCCCTGTTGTAAAAGTTTTACGAACTATGATATCTGTCCCTCTTTTGAAAACGTTTTAACCAATCCATGATATCTATATTCGTTTTGTAAAACAGATGACCAATCTATGATATCTGTTTCCCTGTTGTTAATATTTTGACCGATCTATGACATTGTCTCTCTGTTATAACAGTTTTGATCGATCTATGATCAATGTTTCACTGTTGTGAAGGTTGTAATCGATCGATGATATCTATAGTCTTGTTGTAAACATTTTGACCAACTTTGATATCTATATCAGTTTTTTTAAGTTTTGACCAATCTTAGATATTTATATCCGTGTTGTAAAATTTTTACCAATCTTTGATATTTGTATCCGTTTTGTAAAATTTTGACCAATCTTTGATATATGTATCCATGTTGTAAAAGTTATGACCAATCTATGATATCTTTATCCGTTTTGTAAAAGTTGTTACTGATCTATGATATATGAAGCCATGTGGTAAAAGTTTTGACTAATCATGATTTCGGACTCCCTATTTAAAATGTTTGACCAACCTATGATATCTGTATCCCTGTTGTAAAATTTTGATCAATGTATGATATCTGTTTCCGTTAAGTTAAAGTTTTGAACAATCTATGATATCTGTATCCCTGTTGTAAAATTCTGATCAATGTATGATATCTGTTTCCGTTAAATAAAAGTTTTGCACAACCTATGATATCTGTATCCCTGTTGTAAAATTTTGATCAATGTATGATATCTGTTTCCGTTAAGTAAAAGTTTTGAACAACCTATGATATCTGTATCCCTGTTGTAAAATTTTGATCAATGTATGATATCTGTTTCCGTTAAGTAAAAGTTTAGAACAACCTATGATATCTGTTTCCGTTAAGTAAAAGTTTTGAACAACCTATGATATCTGTTTCCGTTAAGTAAAAGTTTGACCAACCTATGATATCTGTATCCCTGTTGTAAAGTTTTGATCAATGTATGATATCTGTTTCCGTTAAGTAAAGGTTTTGAACAAACTATGATATCTGTATCCCTGTTGTAAAATGTTGATCAATGTTTGATATCTGTTTCCGTTAAGTAAAAGTTTTGAACAACCTACGATATCTGTATCCCTGTTGTAAAATTTTGATCAATGTATGATATCTGTTTTTGTTAAGTAAAAGTTTTGAACAACCTATGATATCTGTATCCCTGTTGTAAAATTTTGATCAATGTATGATATCTGTTTCCGTTAGGTAAAAGTTTTGAACAACCTATGATATCTGTATCCCTGTTGTAAAATTTTGATCAATGTATGATATCTGTTTCCGTTAAGTAAAAGTTTTGAACAACCTATGATATCTGTATCTCTGTTGTAAAATTTTGATCAATGTATGATATCTGTTTCCGTTAAGTAAAAGTTGTGAACAACCTATGATTTCTGTATCCCTGTTGTAAAATTTTGATCAATGTATGATATCTGTTTCCGTTAAGTAAAAGTTGTGAACAACCTATGATATCTGTATCCCTGTTGTAAAATTTTGATCAATGTATGATATCTGTTTCCGTTAAGTAAAAGTTGTGAACAACCTATGATATCTGTATCCCTGTTGGTAAAGTTTTGACTAATTTATAATATTTGTATCCCGGATGTAAAAGTTTGGACCAATCTATGATATTTGTATCCCGGATGCCAAAGTTTGGATCAATCTATGACATCTGTTTCGCTGTTTTTAAGTTTTGACCAACATTTGTAATTGTATCCCTTTTGTGATATCTTGTTATAAAAGTTTTGACCAATCTATGATATCTGTATTTCTTTTGTAAAGTTCAAAACCATATTGTTGTATCCGTATTCCTGTTGTTTAAATTTTGAACAATCTTCGATTTCGATATTCCTGTTGTAAATTAAATAAAACGCGCTTTCAATGCCGACTCTATTTCATGGGACATGCGTTGTTATCCGAACAGATAATTAGCTTCCATAAAGCAATTTTAAGATTTCACATGCTACTTTTGTCGATTTTAGATTGACAATACTGCCCCTTTGGAAAAAGTTTGTTTGCTTGGATGTGGAATAGCTACAGGTTATGGGGCCGCACTAAACACAGCTAAGGTAAGTTTGGTCAGTGGCCAAGGCTATCATACAGCATCGCCTTTCTTGGTTGATAACCATGTAAGAGGATCTGGATGGGGTTTACAGAAGAGAGAATAATGGGCCAATACTACAGATAAAGGGCCAATTAAATAAAGAATAGAGAATAATGAGGTGCTAAAATATAAAGAATAGAGAAAAATGGCTTAAAAAGTACATAAATAAATAAAAGAATACAGAATTGAAGGACGCCACATCCAGACCTTCATGTCATGTAGGGGGTATATGTATGCATCAGGACATATTCCATATTGGTGTAAAATGATGTACATGTCTCAATCTTCTTACACATACTAATTTGTCTATAATTCATGAAAAAATGTATGCTTTCATAATAGTGATTATGTAGGATTAGACAATATACAATAAATGCTTTTAAATTGCATAGCAATATCATTTGCACGTTTTGAAATCTAGCAGGAAGTAATGATTTAGGCACGTTAATCAGTGTTTCAGTCGTCTGATTGGAGGGAAAACATCTTTGTATTGTGCTACCTTAAATGAGGCAAGGAATATGTAAATAACTTACAAAAAATGAAAGATTTAGTGTACCACAAGTGAAGCAGAAGATGCTGAATTATGTTTCACTACCGATATTACCCCCAATTTTAGATTGAGTCCTGTTGCTTAAATTATGTTTTGTATTTAATTCCAATACTTGTAGTGTTTTCATGTTTCATATATGGATGTTATTTGAGTGCTTTCCTTATGCCATGGAGATACCTGTTTTTCTTCGACTCATTAATCTAATTCTTTTTTTCGTAATAGCATCCCCCTTTTTATTTATTCTTGTCTGCTTTTATATTTAAAGTATAAGGGGACAAATTGGATAAAATGGATAACAAGACAGATTGTGTAAATGTTACCATATACGTTCTATGATGGTTTTTTTGCCATTTACGCTTCGTCGATCAACAAAGCTAATAGTGTTTGTTTATCTGCACCCTAATGTTCGAAGTACATTATAAGTATCCGGGCCTTTTTGGTTTGTAAGTAAACATAGGTCTATCAAACAGCTGACAAAAATATTCTACTGATTGCTTTTTAAGGTAGAGTCAGGTTCTACGTGTGCAGTATGGGGACTCGGACCAATTGGTTTATCTGCAGTAATGGGATGTAAGAAGGCTGGAGCTTCACGTATTATAGGAGTTGATATCAACCCGGAAAAGTTCGAATTAGGTGTGTATGTTTTAATTTGTCTTTTTTCAATTTAAAACGGGTTGCTTAAGTAAGAATTTTTAGATGCATAAACAATGTAAGATGTATGGATAACCTAAAATTAGATTCTTATCATAAAGCAGTGCAAGAAATAAATACAAAATAAAACATTTAAAAAAAACACGGAAATAACAGCAATCCATGGATTTGAAATCATAAAATTACCGAAATCAGAATATTTGCTTCAGTTTTATGTCTCTTTTCCTAAAGTGTTTTGAAATACTGAGCAAAATTCATAAACATATAGATGAAAGTTTAAAAAAGAAGTAAACAAACGCCTTAACTGTCGTGTCATTCACAGCGATTTTTTATTTATTTTTTTGGGGGGGGGGGATCGAATGTAAAAATTTTTTGGTCAAAATAGTTATGCTGCGTTATAAGGGGATGCGAAGTCATTGAAAAATCACTACTGTGTTTAAATTTAAATCTGGTTTGAAATTTGAATGTTTTTCAGGTTAACAAGAATAGTGTTATTTATATGAAATACCCTGCACATTGTTTGTTATATAAAAGAGAGTAAAGGCATATGTTTAAATTGTTAGAAAACCTAGATGTCCGATATGATGTTTGTTTAAAAAAACAAATCTTGTATGACTTTTTTTAATATCCACATCTGGTGCACACCACCCATAGAGTAGGTAATTTCACAGTAACTCTGATGGCTGTTTTTGCTTGCTGATAAAATGAATGTTAATAATTAGGAAAGAGGTTTCGTCGAGCATATGATGTCAGAGCAGTTAAATAACGTTGTCTGCAAGGACACATTATGTAATTTGGTCATGAAGTAGACTGAAGAAATATCAAGTTCTTCATCTTTGGTTGAAATTCCAAAGGAACATATATCCGATTTATGATGGCTTATGATATCCTCTTTTTTAAGTACTTTGGGTTTCCAAGTGAATTGTCAACACCGAATTCTTTGATTAATACTTTAATACATTATGTTTAAAACCAAAACGATATTGTTCGAGGCTTTGTCTGCGAGAACAAAAAGCAGAAACGATATTGTTCGAGGCATTGTATGCGAGAACAACATCATTCTTGTCAAGTAGGTAGGACAAGTGCTTAGCAACATTTGGGTCTTTGAAAATGTATTTGATACGAGTGTTCATATAGCTCCATTAAGGTTTTTTTTATCACGATTTGTATCAACGACGTCACAGTCTAACCCCACTCGGAAGGAGAATCAGCGTCTTCTTTTTCACGGTTTTCATTTGTCTTGCATCCATAAAATATTTTAATATTTGTTTTTCCAATTTATGGATTTTGGATAATTTTTTTTGTAACTTACGCATTCCGTAGAGCGATTTTACCATCAATATTAAGGTGACCAGTTTTAAAGTGGTCAGTTGAATTATATATGAACAAAGAACTTTCAAAGAAGGTGCAATACAGGAATGCTCAATTGCATGGTTTAGACTTAAAGTCGTCAATATTATGATTCTGCAACACCAGTTTGTAGTTGAAAAAACTGGTCGCAATTGGTGTGGTCTACATTTGTAGGTATAATAAATGAATGGTAGACTGATCTAAGAAGTAAGGTGATATTTTAGATTTCACTGATTTATTTTGAAGGATATTGCCTAAATGGGTAGCACCAAGACCTAATAAATAAATTTAACAATATGCTATTGCGAGATAAATATACAAGAGAAACAAAACCTAAAACCTTTTTTTATTTGTGTTATGTATTTTCTGCGTTCAAGGTAAAAAGTTTGGTTTGACAGAAGGAATAAATCCCAAGGATTATGATAAACCAATACAGGAAGTGTTGATGGGAATGACAAACGGTGGTGTTGACTATACATTCGAATGTATTGGCAACGTTAATGCTATGGTGAGTCCAACAACAATCTTTGATACATTTGAAGTAAAAACTACATATCAATGTATGCCACTTGCTATATATATTGGTTTTTATTTTTTACCGATGGTTTTTGATCACCAAGTCACCATCCGTCAAACTAGAAACAACATATTGGTGATCTTTCTTATTTCTGTTTTATGACATTCAGTAAATTAACTTGAAGCTAACGTTCACGAACATTTACGGAAATAACAATCACAATTTGCATATTAAAAATTCACTTCAAAATTTTCTAATACTGAAACCAGTTTTAATATGACTAAGGTGATCTGTTCCCAGGAAAAAATCGGCCATACCTAAAATGCCTTTTTAGTGATGTGTATTTGTATTAACTTGTCAACATTATAACGATATTATATTGACAGACTGTAAATGTCATAAATAACTATCAGACAATGTATGTATTCTTGTAAGTTAATATCTAGTATGAAATCTGGTATTGAATAGATTCTTTTCACAAGGCAATATACTGCGAACGAATATGTTCTGTGACTGTGCATAACATATTATACTTTTCTGAAAAAGAATTCAAACCAAACATGAACTCCGTCGCAGTGAATCAATGTGGGATTAAAAAAAACTTCGGCAAAATCTTCTACTCTGTTGAATGTACTGCTATGTTTATTATTTCAGAGAGCAGCTTTTGATTCATGCCACAAAGGATGGGGCAAAACTATTGTACTAGGAATTGCTCCCACAGCTGAAGAATTTTCAACAAATCCTTTTTCATTTACTTTGGGTAAACACATACTGGGATCAGTTTATGGAGGTACGTTTAATTACATAGTTTAATTACAATTAAAATACTGTCATATATGATAAACTGTGTTGCTAGACGATTGTTGTTTAAGCAATCTTTTTGATAGACTATGATACATAATAACTTAATATCATCAAAGACACATAATCAAATATTAAAATCTTTTATAAGTCATTCACTTTAAAAAAAAAATCAGTCGAGGTTTGTGGTTAAAAAGTATAAACCAAAGGACAAACAACACCATGACCAAAAGAGCGACGAAAAGAAAAATAACAGTCCCTTGAACACATGACATCAAACATTGGGTAACGGATTGCAGGATCAAAATTAAAGTTGTTTTATTTGCAAATTTTCAATCTTGAATGTGATTTTCTCTCTACAAAAGTGCTTCATTGTAAGGACAATAAATGAGGTTTTTTGTCCGAATAGCCAGTTAATAATCGTTTTATTATACAGAAAGTACTTCCAGTAAATAGTTTTTAAACTAATAATCGTTAAATAGTCTTTTTATAGGAAAATGTTTGCTTCCAGTGTTGGGCTGTTTTCTGCTCTTTGGTCAGGTTGTTGTCTCTTTGACACATTCCCCATTTCCATTCTCAATTTTATTCATGACAAGTGAATAGTTTTTAAAACTATTAACCGGTTATATTATGTTAATTGTTATAGAATGGAAAGGGAAGGATGATGTACCAAAGTTAATAGAAGGATACAATAAGAAGGAAATACTGCTAGATGAATTCATTACACATACAATGGCATTGGAGAGAGTAAATGAGGCGTTTGACCTCATGCGTGAAGGAAAAAGGTGAGCACCACACAAATTCTTGAATAGAAAATGTTTCAAAAACATTGCATAAAGTCCAAGCTGAGATTATTATAACACAAGTATTCTTAGGTCCAAGACAGAGAAAAAGAGGAACAAGCTGAGATTATTATAACACAAGTAATCTTAGGTCCAAGACAGAGAAAAAGAAGAACGATATAAAGTATCGCAAAAATCATTTTAAAAAAGAAGATCAGCACACACTGACACTTTTGCCTCCAATTTTTTTAGCCTCACAAGTAGCTTCAGAAATACTATTGTTGCAGCACTAAAATAAATGTCATGTCATTAGTTATTTATATAGTATCACATTATTCAGTGTGACACAGTCAAATAGGCTCTTATGTTTGTCATGTTTAATTTTCATTTGCATATGACATATATAATAGTGTTTTGTACTAGTATATTACACAAATAAGTACATACTGAGTTAAATATAATAATTATGAGAAACAATTAACAGTGTGACAGTGAATATCACAATCAACAGAAACTGTAAGTCAAATTAATTTATTTCAGTGACAGGTAATTTATTTACCTAATGAAGGGTATTCCAGAAACACGTGTGCCTAACTATACCGCTAACCCGAGGATGGGGAGGGGGCTTGAAAACAGATCAAGTTTGAATTTGGGTGGTGTCACTTTTACCGTTCTAGAGTTATGCCCCTTTACAAATCCATTCTCTAACTTTAGTTTGCCTCAACCAAATGTTATGAAACTTATACACAATGCTTATTACCACAAAAAAACAGATCAAGTTTGAATTTGGGTGGTGTCACTTTTACCGTTCTAGAGTTATGCCCCTTTACAAATGGAAAAATTGCTGAATTTTTCGTTTCCGTTCTCTAACTTTAGTTTGCCTCAACCAAATGTTATGAAACTTATACACATATGCTTATTACCACAAAACTCAGATCAAGTACAAATTTGGGTAGCATCACTTTTACCCTTCTTGAGTTATGTACTTTATATGCAAGCTGGGGCATCATCTGTGTCCCATGGACACATTCCCCATTTATTTTAACCAATTTTAGCATTTCTTTGTATTGTGGTTTTGGTTTTGCAGCTATATAGCTTCATTAACTTGGTACTTCATGAGGTAGAGCTAGGTCAAATCACTATATCACTATTATCTTTGTGTTTACAGTTTTCAGAAATACGTTGCAAATTTCTTACGCAGATTGATTTAATTCTGTTTCATATGAATGCTTAAAACCATGGATGAACCTGACTAGTACAAACGCATTCCTGATTTGAAGATTGATCTCCCTTGACATATATTTAATTTTCTATTTCAGTCTTCGAACAGTTATAAATCTGTGGCCTGATACTAACAGTGCAGAAAAGTGAACTGTGAATTACATTTATATAACCTTTATCGTTATTATAATTTTCATGTACAGAAATTATTGATACTTAATTTTGTTTCAAATTTGAGTACAAATATTTATAAAATATATAGATAGATTTATGCTTTTTGTTTCGAATTCACGAAGCAATTGTCTTGTGCAATATATTTTGAAAAATAAACAGGATCTCTTTAATATGATTATAACTATACTTTAGTCTTATTTCTGTGCCCAACTGCACGTACTATCTAGTATTTTACTCATCTCTAAAAATGTTATAAGCCTATGGGTTAACGTTTTAATGAATTTTCAACAGCTTCTGTAAACTACATCTATTCAAATAAAAATATAACACTTTGTATATCTGTGTACAGTGAATATCTCCTGCCATGCATGCACCACATATCACATCCTGTTGTGTTTAAACCAGTAACATGAGAACACAGATTGACGTACTGGTAGTGTACACGTGGGATCTGTAGCGGAGTTTATAAATGTCCCCATGCAGTGAGTAGGGTAATTGAGCTATAACGATCAATAAACTCATGATGGCGAGTCGACAGTAGAACATTTTTGTAAGCCTCTTCAGTAGCTGTCGTATGTCGTTTTTGTGAGCCTCTTCAGTAGCTGTCGTATGTCGTTTTTGTGAACCTCTTCAGTAGCTATCGTATGTCGTGTCTTCATGTATTTCATTACTTTGATTGATTGATTGGTTGTTGTTTGATTTAAATTCAGTGGCAAATATTTCATGCATGTTCAGGACAAGAGCATTTTATTATAACAATGAATACGGTATGCAAGGTCGGAATCGGCGAATGAGAATATTAATGGAGGGCAGGAAATTTACACTGTCACTGGACAATAAGGGTATGTTTGATAGGGACCGAAAATTTACCATGCAACAGGTCATCTACAGACCCCTCAGAGTTGTTACAAGGGCCTTTATACCTGTTGGAGGCGTGGCACTCTCTATACACGAGGTATCTGATTAAACGCCCCCATTCCAATCCTACATGACTGCGTTTTTATACATCCCGCACAGCCAAAAAACGAAATACATTTAGACAATACATACGACAACTACTGACGAGGTTCTTGACTTTGATCCTACCGAGCTTTGGCGAGACATATTGTAAAGACACCTTTATGTTTCCCTCCAGATGTCATGGAGTACTTTTTGACGTTGGGCTGTGGTCTCATTTGAGTCGTTTATGTGTTTTACTTAGTAATCCATTTGGAAACAAAATGAAGCCAACTGATGTAGACTGACGATATCAAATCAATCAAAATAAAAATAAATCTCTGATTTCGTTGTCCTCATATGACGGAACACGCGAGTTCCGATAGATTTGAATTTCATTGAATTGGATATCAAATCTCCAATATCTCCACTAAAGTAATTTATCTTTTTCACCGTTAAGCCCAATATCACAATTTCATACACCTACTGTACTATATAGTCTTAATTTTTTTTATGTCCAATTCGCAACGAGAAGTGTATTTGGAAGATTAAGGAAATTCATGGAGTAAATATAAAAATAAGAAGATGTGGTATGATTTCCAATGAGACAACTCTCGACAAGAGACCAAATGACACAAAAATTAACAGACATTAAAAATAAAGCTCTTTTTTGAAAATCTATGTTTACACAAGTTTTTGTGCTATAAATTAGGCAAAATTTTCCATCCCGAATCAGTCAGATCTTCAACGAAACAAAACCAATACCATGTTTGGATCCCCGTAACACTTTGCTGCTTTGGAGAACATCCTTCAGTGCCATAAAGATTAGTCACTTCTCCATTGAAGATATTTGTCAATTGTCGAGAAGGTGTAAACAATCAAAATGCATTGATTGGTTAAGAACATTCTTAAACTAAGAATACAACTACACAAGTGAAACTTTCATAAATGGTGATAGAAACACATGCTCCGGATAATTGCATCAATGTTAATACACATTTTCCATACGCAGAGGTTGCTAGAATGTTTATAAAAATAGAAAATTCACCATGGGAAAATTTAAGTCTTTTCTCTTTTCCAAAAGTAATTATCATAAGTTATCATCCTATAATATCCATAAAAACAAATCTACAAAATCCGACACAGGTCCAGACATAGTATTTTAATCATAACAAAAAAATGTCTTAATTAATCATAAACCTATCAGGATTTTGTTAATAGACAGGGAAGCTACTGGACCAAGACCTCGTTATGTGAAAGTAGAAGTAATCTTTTCAATTGAAGCCATTATGCTATGATCGATAGTTACGGAATATCTGAATATAACAGACGACCACAATAACGTTCTATTTATTTTAGCCACCGTCTAATCTTCCTTTCCTCGCTGTTGACGTTTGCCAAAAATAAAGCCAACAACAGCAATGTTTACTTGTAAGCAATAACTAAATGGGTGCCACGATTAAAGTCGGATCTGATTATCTCTTCGGAACACCGCAGTTAACTCTCGTTATGTAGGGTTCTTATTGCTCAATTTTTAGCTTTCCCTGTAGTCTTATCTTTTTACTTGCGTCGCCGAAGGCAGGTCTATTAACCGCTCGATTCTGTCCATCCGTCCAAAAGACCATATGTAGACAATTGTTGTCAAAGTTTTCTTTTTATATTTGGTCTGCAGCTTGATAATGATTTATTGTGTGTATGTAACTTTTACGTGTGCTGTGCAGCCACTTCCTGTTTGCTGGTAGTTTGAAATTTTGCAACACTCATTGTACAAGGAAAATTTTCGTCAAAGTTGTTTTGTCTTCAATGAAAGGGAATACTCAGTTATGCTTCAGTATAAAACATACAACCTCATGATCAGTTTCATATAGTGACGCAGGTCCAGATCCGGTATTGGTCTTAATTCTAATTTTGGCCACGTGTATCCTTTAACTAATGATTTGTAGCGACGTGTTTCCATTTTGGCAGATATTAACTGATAATCATTGATGAAATTATTTTTTCACATACCTAATTATAGGTCAATAAAGTCTCTTTGGAACATTCTATTAACCATAGTTCGGAATATAACAACATATAGTGTAGATTTTTCTTTTTATCAAAATTAAGAAAATTAAATGAACATAGCTTTTTTTGTAACAATAACATTGAAATGATTTGTTAATCATAATTTACCATTTACATGTTCGAATTATAAACAGTTTTAATTCATAAAATTATAAGAACAATTAAGTAGCTTGAATTATCAAATGTCTGCAAATTTCACGAATTAAAATAAAAATACAACTATGGTTAAACCAGCATCAACTTGATTGTCGAAGTCTTTCGCTCGAAAGCTGCCATGACTCTAACAAACATTTTAGTTCCTCTGTCAAAACTGGTTCCCTCTGTTCTCCAGTAAGTTTCTCTATGAGCAAGGCAGGAGAGCAGCCTATCATTGTTTGTTTGACTATATTTACAGCACATACAAAGTCGTCCCTTGTCCTGATGAACTGTTGTTCTAAGTAGAAAGACCTGTCGTCCCAGTACACTAACTGAAATAGAATTAAACGTCCAACACTAATATCACTGCATAATCTTTTACTTCAACAAGAAGTAAAACAACCCCCTCCCCTCGAAGAATATTAATTAAGATTTCAGTCAGCCTGAACCCATTTTTAACTTCAGATAAGAACAAAAATAAAAATACCAAAAGAACATCTCTACCAAGTCGGTTTATTTGACTAAGTTTCTTTGAGAATCTGTTAACATTAATCCTATGCTGTAAGAACGAGCACGGGGATTGTCGAATTCTTTTAAAAATATAAAAAATTTAATAACTATACGTTAATGTCTATCAGGCAAAGCTTTCTAATGTCTATTCCGGACTACTTGATCTGTCTAACTCTTGTTTATTTTCTGCAACACTTTTTATCGTTCTAAAGGAACAGGCTGATTTTGAATGTAAATAAATTTATTCGGTATTACTGCAATTACATGAAGTAGGTGTATTTTCACTGATATTAACATCTTTACACAATTGGCTATAATAAAACACAAATTTCAGGGTAGATTTCTTGTAAATATAACAAATAAGAGGGAGCTCAGTATTATCAAAATATCCCGGAATTTGTTCTTTAACAGAATGGTCGTTAAAAATACCGGCAATATTTACAAAATCAAAACCTTTATTGACATACTTTATTTTAATAAACTGTTTTTTATGATCTTCAGGGCGATCAATTTTGGGAAACAGTTTAGAATAACAATATGCCATTATAATTTGAACGATTTCATACTTAGGACTGCTATATGAAATAGTGTTGCAATCCTCTAAAATTTTATTTAACTTATTAACCGGTAATGAACAGAGCTTTGTTAACAGATAATGTCTGCCGTTGTTTTTTGAAATAGAAATTAGGTCCGAAATATTGGTATGATTGGTCCGAAATTTTCTTTGATTGCGATTTTTTCTACGACCATGAGAACGGTTTTTACGAACAGTTTTAGAAACTATATCCAAAATGTTAACAGAATCGGTTCTTGATATATTACCAATTCCCATGATATTATCATTAAGACCGAGAGGGTAGACTGTCTGTAATTTTTTAATCCAATTTAATTCAATTATTTTCCGCGATCGTACAAACTTTGAATGAGATTCACCAGGCTGCTTATTTACTACTTCTAAAGGTTGAACTGCTAAATATTTAATAGGATGATTGTGCTTCTTAAGGTGTTGATAAATGATACTTTTGAATTTATTGGGTCTTTTAAAACGATACAGATGTTCTTGAGTGCGTTTAGATAAATATCGTCCAGTTTCACCTACGTACTGAATACCGCATCCCGGTTTGTTTCATGTGAGTAAATAAATTATACTGTTTGTTTTTCAAGTTATATCAGTTTCAAAATTTAAAGAAAATGTGCGACCATTAAACGTGGACCTTACCGTATTGTTGGTGGAAAGACGGGGACATGTAAGTCATTTTTTGGCATGACACTTATCGATAGAAGGGTAACCACGATTTTTACATCGCGATGACCGTAAGGTCATTTCGATGTATTGCTATCGCCTAAATTTCCATTATGCAAATTAGTTTTGGGTTTTCAACCGATCTATAAAAATTATAGATCCGCGGTCATTACAAGTGAAAAAAGTGCATTTTTATACCTGCGATTCCGTTCTCCGTTCGTACGATGTTTCAACAAAATATAGAATCATTTCAGTTGTTGAGTTAGTACTGAAAATTTGACTGAATTATCTCTTATTAAATACGGTTTTATATGTTTAATTGGTGTTTACGAAAGAGGTCAGGTGCTCTTTTTCATTCATAAAATTATCGTTCATTCATAAATTTATCGTAAAATCAAAATCACTACACAGGTCACACAGGTTATACGTAGTGTCAAATAATTACCTGTAATCTAAAAATAGACAATCTTAACTGACTCCCCTTACTAATGAAATGGACCTGAAATTTATTTCACATGTTTTCGAAATATTGAAGATAATAATAATAATAATAATAGTAAAATTCTTTATTTAACGAAGGTAACACATTTAACAAGATCATTTTTCGCAATGTTTCCTGAAAATTAATAAATATCAAAGCAACATAGAGCTGTTCGTTCTTGTTCGTATAATGACGATTTAATGTCATGTTTGTCTGTGATGACCCCCTTTTCGGGATTGCATCAGAATTATAGTTATCTCGTATCGCATGAGGATGACACATATCAACTTAGCAATTATGTTCGGGACTTAGTTTTAAAAAATGATGTCAAAGTAACATTATGAAAATATTTTTAGTAAGCTGATATTATGTTTTACATATTTATGTCTTGAAAGATATTTTATTTCTGTCCCGTTTTTCAAAATTTGCGTCTGGAAAGTTGAAATGTTTTAACTGAATGGTTAATTTAAATTAATTATGAAAATTGTTAAAATTAAATCAATAAAGGAAATTATTGCCCAGTTACAAACACTACCAGGGGATAATCCATAATGATTTCTTTTTGAGTAATATGTTTCAGCACATGTATAATTAACCCCAACTTAACCTGGTAAACTTGTTGTCTCCTTGTGAAATATAAAACATATTAAAAATGATTTCCTGCTAAAGTCTTTTATTGATATAAAGTTAAAATCTTCTTGCTTTTCACTAGACAACACTCCTGTCCTGTCAGGTTTAATTCTTATATATGTGGATGAAAAATAAAAGTCCCCAAAACATAAACATGGCAGCAATTGCTTTTACAGCCTTTAAGGCTTTGATTTTTTTACAGAAGAGTGTCCACTTACACTGCACTATAATAATAGTAGAATGGAATGATATACAAATAGATGAAAATTATATATACATGCAACCGTAATATTAATATAATATATAACAACAAACTAGTGTATTCTCTGGGACTATTATTATATTAGTATAATAGTCCAAGGTATACTGATTTGTATCACTACAATATAATAGTTATTACGATGAGGTTGAATTACCCGTCATTTATTCATCATCCAAGCACGAACTTGTATCAGAAAAAAATATCTCTGTAAATTAACCTCAGTTTCAGGTATAGAGATGTGATCTGTTTCTGTGACATGTGCTTTTGACCATCCACAAGAACCTGCGGTCATCCGATGTTCAGTACTTCAGTACTTTGATTATTGTTAAAAATGTTAGCGATGGTAGTATTTTTAGATAATCGATTTTGAAGATTGAGACGTGTAGATACCCTTTGAACGAGTTTAGTATTTAATATTTTTCTATTTCTAAGCTTCATATTTGTTTTTTGTTTGTGAATTATATTAGAAAGGAGCAAAGACTGGCGTCCAGAATATGAACAAGCATACAATGAATTAAATTATGTAAAAATGATAAATCTGTCCGGCTAAAGATGTCAAACGCTATCCGTATTAATTACCCGAAAAAGAAAGGGTATATCAGGGTAGTGACTGACGTCTGACTAAATAGTAGAATGGGGCTGAATATTGAAATACTACTTTTTGATAAATATTCCTAAAGTAATGAACTAGAGAAGTTCTCGCTCGGACACACACTCCATAATCTAGTATATTATAAGAGCATAAACCTGAAGCACGGGGAGGCACTCTACTGTCTCCACACGGCACTAAAGACAAACTCTGTAAAATATAAAATTGAGAATGGAAATGGGGAATGTGTCAAAGAGACAACAACCCGACCATAGAACAGACAACAGCAGAAGGTCACCAACACCAACAGGTCTTGACTGTGTGATTTGTGTGACAAAATGAGTGACTGTGATTTGTGTGACAAAGTGAGTCTGACTGTGAGATTTGTGTGTCAAAATGAGTCGTACTGGGTGATTTGTGTAACAAAATGAGTCTGTGATTTGTGTGACAAAATAAGTCTGACTGTGTGATTTGTGTGACAGAATGAGTCTTACTGTGTGATTTGTGTGACAAAATGAGTCTGACTGTGATTTGTGTGACAAAATGAGTCTTGACTGTGTGATTTGTGTAACAAAATGAGTCTTGGCTGTGTGATCTGTGTGATAAAAGCAGTCTTGACTGTGAGATTTGTGTGACAAAATGAGTCTGACTGTGTGATTTGAGTGACAAAATGAGTCTTGACTGTGTGATTTGTGTGACAGAATGAGTCTTACTGTGTGATTTGTGTGACAAAATGAGTCTGACTGTGATGTGTGTGATAAAATGAGTCTAAATGTGTGATTAGTGTGACAAAATGAGTCTGACTGTGTGATTTGTGTGACAAAATTAGTCTGACTGTGCGATTTGTGCGACAAAATGAGTCTGACTGTGTGATTTGTGTGATAAAATGAGTCTGACTGTGATGTGTGTGATAAAATGAGTCTAAATGTGTGATTAGTGTGACAAAATGAGTCTGACTGTGTGATTTGTGTGACAAAGTGTGTCTGACGGTGAGATTTGTGTGATAAAATGAGTCTGACTGTGATGTGTGTGATAAAATGAGTCTAAATGTGTGATTAGTGTGACAAAATGAGTCTGACTGTGTGATTTGTGTGACAAAATTAGTCTGACTGTGCGATTTGTGCGACAAAATGAGTCTGACTGAGTGATTTGTGCGACAAAATGAGTCGGACTGTGTGATTTTTGTGACAAAACGAGTCTGACTGCGTGATTTGTATGACAAAATGAGTCTGACTGTGTGATTTGTGTGACAAAATGAGTATGACTGTGTGATTTGTGTGACAAAATGAGTGACTGTGTGATTTTTGTGACAAAATGAGTCTGTGTGATTTGAGTGACAAAATGAGTCTGACAGTGTGATTTGTGTGACAGTATGAGTGAATGTGTGATTTGTGTGACAAAATGAGTCTTGACTGTGTGATTTGTGTAACAAATGAGTCCGACGGTGTGATTTGTGTAACAAATGAGTCTAACTGTGTGATTTGTGTGACAAAATGAGTCGAACTGTGTGATTTGTGTGACAAAACGAGTCGAACTGTGTGATTTGAGTGACAAAATGAGTCTGACTGTGTGATTTGTGTGACAAAATCAGTCTGACTGTGTGATTTGTGTGACAAAATGAGTCTTGACTGTGTGATTTGTGTGACAAAATGAGTCTTGACTGTTTAATTTGTGTAACAAAATGAGTCGGACTGGGTGATTTGTGTAACAAAATGAGTCGGACTGGGTGATTTGTGTAACAAAATGAGTCTGACTGTTTGATTTGTGTGACAAAATGAGTCTGACTGTTTGATATGTGGAACATAATGAGTCGGACTGTGTGAATTGTGTAAAAAAATGAGTCTGTCTGTGATTTGTGTGACAAAATGAGTCTGACTGTTTGATTTGTGTGACAAAATGAGTCTGACTGTTTGATTTGTGGAACAAAATGAGTCTGACTGTGTGATTTGTGCGACAGTATGAGTGAATGTGTGATTTGTGTGACAAAATGAGTCTGACTGTTTGATTTGTGTAACAAAATGAGCCTGACTGTGTGATTTGTGTGACAGTATGAGTGACTGTGTGATTTGTGTGACAGTATGAGTCGGACTGTGTGATTTGTCCTATCATAAAGAACAGGCACCTTCTGAAAAATTTCCCTAAAGTGCAAAGGATGTGACAATGTGATTTTGTTCTGATGTATTTTTCCTTTATCTGTTCCTATTCGCACTATCATACCTTTGTTTTGATCTTATAAATATCGAAGAGTTGTAGAGATCGTCTGTATCTGATATTATTCCCAGCATTTGACATCTTTGCTCCCAATTTCTGCCCCATTTGCCATGCTTTACTCTCTATCCAAAATTTAAACCTAGCAAAGTCACAGTCTCGTAGATATCTAGCATTATTCATATGTATCATAAAATCAAGATCCGTTGTGAAACATATCCCTAGAAAAAAAGAAAGACAACAAAAATTCAAATTGTAATCTTTAAATTTTATGGTAACAATAAGAGAATCATTAAATTAAAAAAATATTAAATGGCTTTGTTTGCAATCTAATTCAAATTTAACCTTATTATCAGAGAGAGAGAGAGTAATAGATCTTATTCTTATATCCCTTAAAATGAACAAGAAATATGTACTTAAAAGTGTCGCGTCTGCTATACTGATTTGATTGAAATGTATGTTGAAACTCTTAAGGTCTTACCAGAGGTATCACATCAATTCAGCATACTCATGGACCGTGTAATCAGTTCAAAGTCAGACAATCTCATTAAAGTACAGATCCGGTGTCCACTATTTGCTAAAGTAAGAAAAACGTGCAGACATGATCTGTATTTGAATCAGTTTGAAAGGCAGAAGAATCCACGCCAGACGAATATGAACAACATACAATCATTTTAAAGACCAAATAAATTTGACCAATAGAGTAACAATTAACTCTAAATTAGTTAAGGAAAAAGCTTACAAAATGATACACAATCGCAAACATGATTACTGTTGCAGTTCAGAATCGAAACACACCAGAAAATATAAACAGATTGGAACAACTGCAAATAAGATCAAACAATCAACAAATAAGATCAAACAATCAACAAATAAGATCAAACAATCAACAAATAAGATACAAATAACTTCAACTCAACAAAGAAACGTCAGTTAAATTTTCATTATTTGCCAAACAATCAGAGATTGCAATGAACTACCATTCGAAATTTCATACCAAAATTCCACTGACAACTTTAAGGATGTTCTTCAAACACTCTTCTGTCATCTTAACTTAATGTATGTATTGTTTGTTGTCTTAGTATAAAAATACAAGAAAATTTTAAAAGTCGACTAAAAATTGTCAAGTTTTTAAATAATTTAAGGTGATGATGATGGGAGTTTTTAACGACCTTGACTGGCTATACAGCCCTCGCACGGTCGGTAATTTAAGGTGGCTCGGGTGTCTTCCTTCATTTTGGATTTCGAAGTAGCAGATAACGTTGGTCTAGATATTTCATGAAATGTGCAAATTTTGAGAGTAGTATGTAATTTATGTAAAAGACTTTTGATGTAAATATAGAAAATTGTGTGTGTTTTATCATAATTACGGCTGTAATTTCTCAAAAACACTTTATTTGTGTTTGATTAGATTTTTTTCATCTTTGCCAAATAAGGGGAGATAACTCAGATAAAGTAATTTTTACAATAGAAAGTGTTGTGAATTTACCTATTTTGATATGTAGCAAGAAATCAAGTTCGGTGACCCCATTTTTTCTTTTTCTTATCTGAAAGCATCTTATAAGAGCTATCTTCTCATATTTTATCTGAAAGTTCTATCAAGTAGTTTTCTTTTTATCACACAAAATTTGATTTTCTATGCATAATCTATACAAAATCTGACAATTTTGCACAACCTCTAGTGTGAAAAAAAGTTCGGTGACCCATACTTTTTATCATATTTTTGAAAAACGCATGATAAAAACTTCATTTTGGCAAATTATCAAAAAATTCTATCAATTTTGATTAAGAATCCCCAGCCACCTTAAGCACAACATTTTTATTTATATTTATAAAATTATTTACTTTTAAAGAAAGACCGAATATACGCATTAGTTGGTGACAAACTGTGACCATCATGGCAAAAAACGACACAAAACACAACATTGAAAACTATATACTGAGCAACCTCACACAGGCATGCATCAATTAGTTACTTGGTTTCCGTATCTAAAGAAGACAATATTACTTAAGAGTATATGAGTAACAGACTTTTTTACGAAAATATATTAAACGCTGCCCAATGAATCATCAAAATGGACTCTGTCAAACGGAAATTTACACCCAACAGTCATTCTCTACACTGAATATAGTTGACCAATTACTTCAAGTAAATATCTGTGAAACAGACCTAAAATGATAACTTGGACCAACAAAGCACAAACACGAGGTCGATGTCATTCTATACACTAAATGTAATGTTCTTAGAGCACGTATGGAATTTGACAGACATAATAAAGAAAAATAATTATAAATATAAGCGTTGACAACTGAACCGTGAAAGTGAGGGAGAAAGTTCAGATGTACCCTGTAATTTGGGCATATACACCTTACAATCGTTCTCCAACGTATAATTGGAAAATGACCATTGTTATATTATAGTTCGTTTCTGTGTGTGTTACATTTTAATGTTGTGTTTTTGTTGTGTCGTTGTTCTCCTCTTATATTTGATGGGTTTCCCTCAGTTTTAGTTTGTAACCCGGATTTGTTTTTATCTCTATCGATTTATGAGTTTCGAACAGCGGTATACTACTGTTGCCTTTATTTACAATCCGACAGAAGAATATGTTAAATTGTGTGTACGTATGCTATGTATAAGATTTATTTTGCAGATTGTAATGATGACCTCTGTAGTTTTTGAAATGACATTTAAAGCAAACTTTACAAGTTACAGTGAAATGTGAGTGTGTAGTCGGGGACAATCATTTGTGAAAAGAGACAATGGTTTTACATATGTTTAAAAATTATCTGAGAAAATTATTAACTCTTAAGTAACTCCCCCAGATAATTTCGTGCTGCTACCATACCGTTTAGCGAGCAGTAAAAGGCCTAGTCCAAATAATTATGAAGTCTTGAAAGGCTTTTTTCTTTTTCTTTGACGCGTCACAGAAAAAAAAAATAGCCTTTCAAGACTTCATAATTATTTGGACCATAAAAGGTACCGACATGAAAAAGCTGAATAAATCAATCGAGAAAACTAACGGCCTAATTTGTTAGTGTAAACAATTTATGTAAAACATATATGACAGCCACTGAATTACAGAACCATTTTAAATATTTATGATTAACTGTAGTCGGAGTTTATCATCAGTGAAGAATTTCTATCGGCACCGTAATAACTATTTGGATTATCTCCCGTTTAAAACTCAACTTACCATAAAAAATGCTTTCTTCAAATAATGAAGTCGACTTAGTAAGCATGTAATAGGAACATGTGAATCCGAATCGAATGAAATACCATACGTCAAAAAATACGAAACAGATACAGCTGATCAACTAAAGTAACCACATGATTAGCGGCTTTCCTTCTGTGTGAAAATAGAGAAATCACCATATTTAAAATTCCGGTCAGATTAATAAGGCCACACACAACTGGATTAGTGTTGCACACAACCTTCAATTTTCTAATTTGATTTTCTATCTTTCTTCTTTTCTTTTCTTTTTCCTTATTCTTTAAATAAAATTGAGAATGGAAATGGGGAATGTATCAAAGAGACAACAACCCGACCATAGAACAGACAACAGCAGAAGGTCACCAACAGGTCTTCAATGCAGCGAGAAATTCCCGCACCCGGAGGCGTCCTTCAGCTGGCCCCTAAACAAATATATATACTAGTTCAGTGATAATGAACGCCATACTAAACTCCAAATTGTACACAAGAAACTAAAATTAAAAATAATACAAGACTAACAAAGGCTAGAGGCTCCTGACTTGGGACAGGCGCAAAAATGCGGCGGGGTTAAACATGTTTATGAGATCTCAACCCTCCCCTTATACCTCTAGCCAATGTAGAAAAGTAAACGCATAACAATACGCACATTAAAATTCAGTTCAAGAGAAGTCCGAGTCTGATGTCAGAAGATGTAACCAAAGAAAATTAACAAAATGACAATAATACATAAATAACAACAGACTACTAGCAGTTAACTGACATGCCAGCTCCAGACTTCAATTAAACTGATTGAAAGATTATGTCTTCATCATATGAATATCAGGCACAATCCTTCCCGTTAGGGGTTTAGTATCATACCATCATAACATATATGAGAAGAACATAACCCGTGTCATGCCAACAACTGGTTTTTAAATAAAATTAATGTGTTTAGTGCCGATGCAAAGACCCTATAAGTGAATCAATATTAACGCCAAAATATGCAATCTTTAATGACCTGACAACAGTATCGTAACTATATCCCTTCTTAATAAGTCTATTTAAAGGTTTTGTTAGCTTCAGAGGTGAATACTGACATTTTTGTGCTTTATAAAGAATATTTCCATAAAAAATTGGATGTGAAATACCTGAACGTATAAGAAGTCTGCATGTTGAGCTATATTTACGAATGATGTCCTTATACCGATGATAAAATTTAGTAAATGTTTTGACTAGTTTGTGATATCGAAAACCCTGGTGTAATAATTTTTCAGTAATACATAAATTTCTCTCGTTAAAATCTAAAACATTGTTACATACACGAGCGAATCGTACAAGTTGAGATATATAAACACCGTAAGATGGTGACAAGGGAACGTCACCATCTAAAAATGGATAATTAACGATAGGAAATGAAAAATCATCTCTTTTATCATATATTTTAGTATTAAGCTTTCCGTTAATGATATAGATATCAAGATCGAGGAAAGGGCAGTGGTCATTGTTAGTATTAGCTTTATTTAAAGTAAGTTCAACAGGATAAATTTCTTTAGTATACATACTGAAGTCGTCATTATTGAGAGCCAAAATATCATCCAAATATCTAAAAGTATTATTAAATTTGTGTATCAGATGTTGTTTCGATGGGTCTTTGCTGATTTTTGTCATAAATTGTAACTCATAGCAATACAAAAAAAGGTCCGCAATAAGTATGTGTGTGTGTGTGTGTGTCAAAAAGTACAAAATATGGCTTCTTTCGTAGTTTGGCTGGGAAACATAAAATATTCTCTAGTCTTTATAATCTTAATCTTTAAAAATGGATAATGTATATGTCTTAGATATTACTCCTACGACAAGGATGTACACAGCTAGTCAAATAGTGATGACGTTTGTGAAGGCGTCTATTTAAAAAATATAAATAGTTGAACAAGACGTCCTAACTTTTTGGACTAATTAATTTTTCACTTATATCTAAATCCTTGCTCAGAGAATCTTAGGGTATTGATCCCCGGTTTTATTTTCTGTTTTGCAGAATTTTTCAATATTTCTAATTATATTAAATATAGTATATCTTAACTTCTGAATAACCTGAGTTCTCCCTAGTCCTTCGTTTTCTATGTAGCTTTTTTGTGGACTTGTCAGTTTGTCTTTTCGTCGTTTTTCACTTTTTTGCCATAGTGTTGTCATTTTTGTCGAGCCTTCGACTTTGGTCGAAAAAGCGAGACATAGCGATCCTACATTCCGTCGTCGTCGTCGTCGGCGGCGGCGGCGTCGTCCACAAATATTCACTCTGTGGTTAAAGTTTTTGAAATTTTAATAACTTTCTTAAACTATCCTGGATTTCTACCAAACTTGGACAGAAGCTTGTTTATGATCATAAGATAGTATCCAGAAGTAAATTTGTTAAAAAAAAAATCCGTTTTTTCCGCATCTTACTTATATATGGACTTAGTTTTTCTGCCAGGAAACAATACATTCACTCTGCGGTTAAAGTTTTTAAAATTTCAATAACTTTCTTAAACTATCCTGGATTTGTACCAAACTTGGACAGAAGCTTGTTTATGATTAAAAGATAGTATCTAGAAGGAAATTTTGTTAAAATTTTGTACCTGTTTATCCGTATTTTACTTATAAATGGACTTAGTTTTTTCTTCCAGTTAACATTAAATACAGTCTGCAGTTAAAGTTTTTAAAACATTTATTAGATTCATAAACTATCCTGGATTTATACCAAACTTTGACAGAAGCTTCTTACAATCGAAAGATAGTATCTAAAGGAATATTTTTATTGATTTTTTTCCTCATTTTTGTTGAGCCTGCGATTAACAGCAAAAGTAGGCGAGACACTGGGTTCCGTGGAACCCTTACGATTTTTTTCTTCGATTTATGAGTTTTGAATGTTCCCTTGTTATCTTCTGCCTCTCTTATACTTTAAGGTTTCTACAGATATTCCATAACGGCCAACAAACTCGTGATAGCGCCCATAAAAATTTTCGAAGTGGTAACTTCAACTTTTGGAACCCTTGGATAAACTGCTTCCTTGTAAATAGCAAACCTCTTTCAGGGATTTTTCTTTGTATGTCTATGAATCAGCAACCCTCCAAACAAATCAGTTTAAAGAAAAAAACAAAACAATTAAAGAGAATACTGAATCATCTAGAAGTCTCCTACTGTCTTCAGTCCACAGTAAGTACCCACGATTTTTCTCTCTATATAAACATGACCCTGTTGCGAGGTTAAAATGGTTTTATTTTATGTCAAATTGGGTCTTTTTTTTTATATCTCAAACAGCGAAATAATTAAATGTACAAATTAAAGCGAATCATAAAAATAAATGCAGGACTTAACATTTAATACTAAAGGTATAACACATATATCTAAAACAGGGTTGTCAAGTTGGTTACTTATTTCTTATTCTTTATTTGTAACGTATTCACATTTACTTGTAGTAATTTGGAAATGATAGTCATACGGTGACTACAGGGTTGTTTTTAGGAGAATTTATAGACCCTTTCAGATAATAAGAAGTGACGGAAGAATCCAAGCCCGACCCTCCCTGTTACACATGTAACTTAATTGCGAATATTGAAGAGTGAATAGTATTGAGTGACCATATTTTAAATGTTCAAACCACCACGCATATCAAATTTAGAGAGCTTGATACACCAGAAGTTGTTTGTAGAATCGAGAAAGAGAATAGAGAGTATCTGATTGAGAAATTCTGAAAATGTCTAAATGAAGATCAGTCAATTTTGATGTAGTTGTTCAAATGGAAGACGTTCAATCCTATTCCATCTAAAAGCTCCTCTATCACAATATTTTGTTGTAACATTATAAAATCCAACCGTATTCAGTTAATCCTTTACTATTGAAGGGACAATAGCTGTCAAGTTCATGTTCACCGATTCGACTCAAATTCTCATATTTGATATATAACATACTAAAGCGTGCATCCAAATTACAAATAACATACTAAAGCGTGCATCCAAATTACAAATAACATACTAAAGCGTGCATCCAAATTACAAATAACATACTAAAGCGTGCATCCAAATTACAAATAACATACTAAAGCGTGCATCCAAATTACAAATAACATACTAAAGCGTGCATCCAAATTACAAATAACATACTAAAGCGTGCATCCAAATTACAAATAACATACTAAAGCGTGCATCCAAATTACAAATAACATACTAAAGCGTGCATCCAAATTACAAATAACATACTAAAGCGTGCATCCAAATTACAAATAACATACTAAAGCGTGCATCCAAATTACAAATAACATACTAAAGCGTGCATCCAAATTACAAATAACATACTAAAGCGTGCATCCAAATTACAAATAACATACTAAAGCGTGCATCCAAATTACAAATAACATACTAAAGCGTGCATCCAAATTACAAATAACATACTAAAGCGTGCATCCAAATTACAAATAACATACTAAAGCGTGCATCCAAATTACAAATAACATACTAAAGCGTGCATCCAAATTACAAATAACATACTAAAGCGTGCATCCAAATTACAAATAACATACTAAAGCGTGCATCCAAATTACAAATAACATACTAAAGCGTGCATCCAAATTACAAATAACATAATTAACTATACCAATTGTATTGCACCAGATGCGCATTTTGACAATTAATGTCCGTGTAGTGATACTGGAGGTCAAAGTATTTGAAAATCCAAAACCTAAAACAGATGTTATAAGAGAGCTCTGATAAAACCAAACCCAAATAAGAACTCAGACCTATGCATAAGGAAGAATATCCGGTTTTTCATGCCGGTATCGAAGTACCGGCTTTTGTGCTGTTGATATCCTCGGGGTTTAACCGTCCACCAGCAGATGTAGCGACAATTGGTACCGTTAATGTTATTTCTAAGGCTGCCTGGGTCGATGGTCATACCTCTGCTGGTATCGACCTAGCGGTAGAAATAACATTAACGGTAACAATTGTATTGGACCAGACACGCATTTCGACTATCAATGTCTCTTCATTGATGCTCGAGGCAAAAACATTCGAAAGTCCTAAATGTAATACAATGTTGAAGAGCTAAGTGAAATCAAAAAGGACCAAAGTAAAACCAAAACCGCGGACAAGTAGTCAGAGCTTTGCATTAAAGTCCAACCAAAGCAATC